ATACTATTCTTAACCTCCCCCTGTCTATTTTGTACCTACCAATTATGCTGCTTATTCCCTGTATCTTTTCCCCCATTCTTACCCCTTCCCCTCCCCTCTAATCTCCATAGAAATCTCCATTTCTATGATTCTGTTCCCATTCTAGTTGTCTGCTTACTTTATTTTTGTTTTTGTTTTTTTAGGTTCGGTTGTTGATAGTTGTGTTTCGTTGTCATTTTACTCTTCATAGTTTTTGATTTTCTTCTTTTTCTTAGTAAAGTCCCTTTAACATTTCATGTAATAAGGGCTTTGTGATGATGAACTCCTTCAACTTGACCTTATCTGGGAAGCACTTTATCTGCCCTTCCATTCTAAATGATAGCTTTGCTGGAGACAGTAATCTTAGATGTAGATCCTTGTCTTTCATGACTTTGAATACTTCTTGCCAGCCCCTTCTTGCCTGCAAGGTTTCTTTGGACAAATCAGCTGATAGTCTTATGGGCACTCCTTTGTAGGGAACTGTCTCCTTTTCTCTTGCTGCTTCTAAGATTCTCTCCTCATCTTTAATCTTGGGTAATGTAATTATGATGTGTCTGGGTGTGTGCTTCCTTGGGTCCAACTTCTTTGGGACTCTCTGAGCTTCCTGGGTCTCCTGGAAGTCTATTTCCTTCGCCAGATCGGGGAAGTTCTCCTTCATTATTTTTTCAAGTAAGTTTTCGATGTCTTGCTCTTCTTCTTCTCCTTTTGGCTCCCCTATGATTTGGATATTGAAATGTTTAAAGTAGTCCCAGAGGTTCCTAAGCCTCTCTTCATTTTTTTTTTTTTTTTTGAATTCTTGTTTCTTCATTCTGTTCTGGTTGAAAGTTTATCTCTTCCTTCTGCTCCCAATCATTGATTTGAGTCGTGCTTTCCTTCCCTTTACTGTCAGTTCCCTGGATACTTTTCTTTAATTCACTTTGTGCAGCCTATACTTTTCCCTCCATTTTGGACCACACTCAGCCAATTCTGTGAGCACCCTGATTAACACTGTTTTGAACTGTGCATCTGATAGGTTGGCTATCTGTTCATTGCTTAGTTCTATTTTTGGAGCTTTGATCTGTTCTTTCATTTGGTGCATATTTGTCTCAGCATGCCTGTTACATTGGGAGGGGCAGAGCTTTAGGTATTCGCTGGGGCAGGGCAACCCAGGTCACTGCGTTGTGACACTGTATGTGGGCGAGGGGTCCAAGAGGGAACAATGATACTTGCTTGGCTCTTGGGCAGCTTTCAGTCACTTCCCCTGCTACCCACAAGCTAATTGGGCTCTTCTTGTACTGATTCTCGGGTGGGTGGGTTTGTGTACACTCTAGGACCCTGTGGACTCTCCTCTGAGGCTGGGAGTTTCTCTGGCGGCCACAACCCTCACAGGTTTTAACCTCCAGGGGTTTTGAGGTTTTCTTTTCCTGCGCTGGAACCCTGGATTGCTCTATCTGTCTCACTCCCCAGTAGTTCCTCCTGGTTTATCTTCACGCCAATGTGGGACCACCCTGTCTGCCAGCTGCCACTTTGCTGCCCGTCCTCCCTGCACCAGCTGCGCATCTCCACCCCTCCTACCAGTCTGGATGAATGTTTCTTTTTTAGCTCCTTGGTTGTCAGACTTCCATACCATTCAATTTTCTAGCAGTTTTGGTTATTTTTTTGTTTTTAAATTTGTTGTTGTCCTTCTTTTGGTTGTGCGAGAAGGGAAAGTGTAACTACCTATGCCTCCATCTTGGCCAGACTAAGGGGACAATATTTCAAATAAATAGACTTAAGCTGATATGATTCAAGAATATATGAAAAGCTAAAAATACACACAAAGATCGATCTTGTCCTTTTATCACCTATAAGCTTTTTGTTTCCTTAATTTACTTGTATATGTTGTGTTTAGGCAGTCACAAATAAATAATTAATTTAAAGCCTTTAATTTCAATACATAATTAAGTCAGACTATGTAATTATAATATAGAATTTAACATCTTAAACTAACAATTTTTCTAAACAGACAACAAATGGTCCAGTAAGATAGTTCACATTATTTTGTTCATATTAAGACTTTAAAATCCAGTGAGTACTTTATACTTCACAGCATATCTCAATCTAGATGTTAAGTTTTCATCAGAAATACTTAATCTGTGTTTAGAGTTTATTAAATTTACATTTGAAAAAGTACATTTACACACTCAAGTTGTCCTAATATAATAAAAAGTTTCCTAATAACTGGATGCAGTTATTAGTTTAAAATATTTCATTAGTTAAATTTTAATAAAATTTATTAAATTTTATAAATAAAATTTATTAAGTTTTATTAAGTTTTATTTATAAAATCTAAAAATTTATTAAATTTTATTTATAAAATTTAAAATTATATTAAAATTTAGTACTTCAGTGGAACCAGCCATATTTTATACCCTTGATAGCCATGCTGGGTAGTGGCTACTGTATTTTACTAAACAACTCTGGAGAGTAAGTAGGTAGCTGGGAAACAAAGATGGTTTCAATTTTGTAGTATTTTCATATATGACTTATTCAAGTAAATGAATAAACCATTTTCTTGTTTTAAAGCTACAGTAACTAGCATGTAGAGATCACAAATGCACTTCCACAGGAGGAGTGTTGGGACAAAGCTGTTATGTTTCTTGCAAATTAAAACAAAATTCCCAGTACTAGTATTCCATAAACACATTCCAAAAGTGCTGTGTCACAAACAACTTATTTGAAAGGGAGCTCTGGCTGGTGTGGCTCAGTGGATTGAGGGCTGGCCTGTGAACTAAAAGGTCACCAGTTCAATTCCCAGTCAGGGCCCATACTAGGGTTGCAGGCCAGGTCCCCAGATGGGGGTGTGCAAAAGGCAGTCAGTCGATGAAAGGAAATATTATGTGCCAGTTAAAACTATACTGTTTAATTAAAAGAATAGGATCAGACTGTTGATTAAGCTATGGCTATTTAAGCTAAATGCAGTTTGAAAAGAATAATTTTATAAAATGTAAATAGAAAAAATTAACATGTATAAATTAATATATTTGATTTCAAATACACAAATATGAATTTCAAAAATAAATTATATACTATCAGTTTAGAAATATGCACATTTAATATGTGATTATATTAAATATATTTTATATAGTTTATTTTCATATACAGGGGCAAAAGTAGATTTACAGTTGTGCATCTGTAAAATGATTTATTCTTGTATTATTATTTATTAATTATTTTATGTATTACTTTCCATACAAAAACTGTAAACTTACTTTTGCTCCACTCTGTATGTTCATAAGTGGTATTAGTCTATAGTTTGTTTATAGCGTTCATCTTTGGTAGGTTTTGGTATTGGTGTTACAGACTTCAAATGTAAGAAGTGAGGCCCAAGTGAGGACCCTTCATCCTTTCATTGAAATGGACACCTAACAGGAGAATTAGTAGAGTATTCCCTTGAATTCTATAACTTAACCTGTGTTTGTATGTGTGTGTGTGTGCATGGTTATTAGTCTATTCAAGGTTTGCAATTGCAGTTCTTGCTTAACAAATTTTGGTAATTGATTGTATTTCCTTAGAAGAATTATAAACATTTCCTTTTTCTCTCACTGCCATTTAAAAATATTCTATATTTTTTAAATTACTGCCACGTATTTAGTTATGTTTCATTTCTTATCAACCTTTACACAGAGGAGTGAATAGAGCTTCAGAAATCCTGGAAAGGGAAAAAAAAAAGCACTTATCAGTCATGATAGACTGTTAAATAAATAAATAAAGAGAGGAAACCCATTTTCAAGAGTATGTTATATTTAGTTGCAGGGGCATGAGGTTTCTTCCCAGTTTCTAAAAGAAACGAAGCGTGAAAGAAGAAAAGAGGGAAGCCACTGTTCACTGTCTGAGGTCAAGGTTAAGGTAGAAAAACTGAACACGTATGAAAAAGGATTTTCTGTTTTTAGTGCAGGGCAAACCGAAAGTCAAGGGAGCCAGTTTCCAAGCAAACAGACTGGGTACAGAGAGAACAAAGAGGTAACATTTCCTAGCAGAGACCAACTCTCTAAAAAGAGGACAGAGCACTGTTACTCAGGACTCAGCTTCTCAGGGTCAAGGCCTGGGACCTGTATCTCTTGGATTCCAACCCTGGTTGGAGGAAAGTCATGGGAGACTCATGGCTGTGGTTTTGGGGAGAGGAAGAAGTAACAGTGTAACAATACCCTCTCCATCTCTGCTCTACAGCAAGGTGGAAGAAGCACCAAAAACGCACCTCATCTACGCATATGCAGCATGAACAGTTGGAGGCTCTATTTAGCTATACCATGTTTCCAGATAAAAACCTGCAGAAGGAACTCGTTTTGAAACTCAGCCTACCAGAGTCAACAATGAAGATCTGTCCAATCCCCTGAGGAATGCTTGGTACCTCCACCCAAACCGCATTCTACTATTCAGCCTGGAAATTCCCTCCATAAGACAATAATGATAACATTTCATTTATTGAGTACATACTGTGTGCTAGTACTGAACTAGGCACATTGCATATGTTGGCCTCATTATGATCAAGTTTAAAAGAGGAGGGAAGCAACAGTTCAAGGGCAAAGTGACTGGATCACAGAGTTAATAGGCAGTAAAGCTGGAATTAGAACTCCAGAGATCTTGTGCTATGGAGCTGAAATAACAGGAGGACTCTTGTCAGGACAGACTCTTCACTTAAGCAAAACCCTGCAAATAACTGCTCCCAACCTCTGAGTCTGCTGAGGCTCCCCCAAAATGTTTTGGAGTATTCTTTACTGTAGAGGCCTTCTAAATAATCCCTAAATAACTCCCTTTTCTTTCCTTTTTCTTTATCCGGGGGCCCAGTCCTGATCCCTTCCTGCCCCCCCCCCCATTGACTCCATTCATGCCCCTCTCTGCTCTCTCAGAACTCAGTGCCATGGTGAGAGGATGCGAGGGTTATAATCTGGCTTTTTTCACCAGGAGAAGCTTCAAACTGCTCCATTAACAGACTGTAATGTCCCCTCTTCTCCAACTCCCAGACTTGGTTCAGGAACCGAGGGGTCAAACTGAGGAAGCAGCAGCAACAGCTGTCATCAAAGCAACCAAGTCAGCTTCTTCCAGCCAAGATTGTGCCCACCTCACCCACAAAATCAACCAATCCTTCCTCTTTTTTCCTGCAGTTTCAGATTTCTATAGCTTCCTTCCACTTCAGCCTGTAGGCGCTTCCAGTTTGGCACAGGATTCTATCATCACTGAGAGTCCCATAAGCAATGACCAAATGCAAAATACTCAGTTGGAGAAGCTGGTGGGCTCAGTTCCTGCTCTGGACTCTGATGCTTATGACATAGAGCAAATCATGCAACTGTACAGTTTTTCTGATGAAGATGAAATGCCCAACACTTCTTTCCATTGCCTATATCAGTATCTCTCACCCACAGACCCCAGCTAGAAGAAAAAGGGTTCTTTTCTTAACATCTTTGCTAATGCAGCTTTGGGTCTATCACCTTGGCAAACCTCAGCCAGTATGGGCTCAGACAAGCTGAGGCCATTTAGCCTACAGCCTAAGAGACAGCCTAGAATTCCAGAACCCCTCCAGTATGGTGGACTTCGGATTTCTCTGGTCAAAGTTCTAATAAATACCAGATTGCACAGAAGTGTCTTCTTATGTCTTATACACTCCTCTCTTCTTTGCTTTGTTTGCTTCTTAACCCAAATATCTGGGTTGGTGTCCCTTTGGTTTCCATAGACATGTAGTAAAAACTAGAGATTTTTTCCAAGTTTAGCTCAGTACTACACAATCAACACTGTCGCACTGCGCAGCTATAGGGGCGCGCCGTCGCCGGGGAGCGGCGCAGAGAGCGCAGCACTCCCTGAAACCTGAGGGAAACAGGCTGGGGCCAGCTGAGGTAGGAGCAGGCCTCTGAAACCCTCAGAGTCCGTCCTGGGGTTGTCATTGACGAGGGGGAATAAACACGAAACATCGTAAACACTTCTCTGTTTGCCAGGAGAGCAGACGGGCACTTCCGTCTTACCAGAGAAGGCCCTGGCACATCCCCTAGTGGGGAAAGCCCCGTTGCCCTTTGTTCCAAGGCTTTTATTGAGAAACTTATCAGTAAGCTAGGTAACAGGAATGCATATGTACACTCGTTACATTAGCATGTTAAGTTTCACAAAGAGTAGATACCTTTAAGAAAACAAGTGACAGGAATTCACTGATTTATATGGGTCCAAGAGGAGACCAGTCTAAACAAAAGAAAATGAAGATAGAGGCAAGTGCTTTAATGATAAAGGGTAAGGGGTATAAATAATGCGAAGGTCCTTCACAGCATGAGCTGAGGAGAGATCCGAAGGAGGAACAGAGCACTCTAAAAAGTTTACTTTTAGGCCTGATTTCCCCGGGAACCGCCAGACCTGATTGTGGGCTGTTTTTCCTGCACTGTTTCAAGCCTGAGCCAGGTGAGAGGAGGGAACCACCAAGGGAAAAGGAGACTGCTTCTCGGCTGCAATGAGGACTCCGGCCGTCTCCAAGCCAAGCCAAGAGGTGTGGGGGCCTTTTTGCCCCTTCTCCGTGTCCCCCGCAATCTCTTACCTGCTGCCCATATCGGTCAATGCCTGTCTTGGGTTGCCCCTCCCCCAAGGGGTCATACCCGTCATTGGCCAGGACCATCACAAGGCAAAGCAGAGGGGCAGCGGCATAGGAACAGGTCAAGTCGCCTCAGGAGCCTGTTTCTCCAAGGCCTCCTGATTATTTCCAGCTTTGGGGCCCTCCAGCCCGTTGGCAGGGTTACAGCTCCTGAAACCAGGCCCGGTGTTCCCCAACACAACCCCACAACTCTGCTTGGGAAGAGGCCTTCCTAGTCCCCTAGATGGCCAGTTAGACCCCCAAAATTCCTCATCCCAAAACTACCTCGGACTTTTAAAAAGGGAATCAGCAGCCTTTTTATGGTACTAGGTTATAAACTCATTTTATTTCCAATCTTTATGTCTGGGGGTTTTCTAAAGGGTGGGTTTAGTCAAAAGGTAAGGGGAAATCACCATCACCATTAGTTTTAATATAATACGGGTCCATACCCCGTAGTAAGAAATATGAGGAAAAATAAATATCTCTTCATTAAAAATATAAAGTATCTAGGAATTAACTAAGAAAAGTAAGATCTCTGTGGAGAAAACTTCAAAACTTGAATAAAAGACATACTAATGTTTTGAAAAAAAGTCATTTGAGGCTATAAAATAATAAATGTAAAAGGATGAAATTATATAAAGTATGTTCTGCAAACACAGTGAAGTGAAATTAGAAATCAATATCTAATGAAAATTCCTGAAATTCACAAATATATGGATATTAAAAACCACAGTCCTAAATGACCAATGGGTAAACGAGAAATCAGGAAAATTAGGAAATACTCAGAAATGAATGAGCACAAAAATACAACATACCAAAACTTATGAAATTAAGCTCAATCAGTGCTTAGAAGGAAATTTATAGCTGTGAAAGCCTGTATTTCAAAAATGTCTCAAATAAATACTTTTTTTAAACAGAGAAGAAGCTGGCATAGTTATATTAATATCTGTCAAATTAAAGTTTAGGGCAAGAGACTCTTTTGGAAGTAAAAGTATATTAGACAAGGACAAAAGAAACAACCTCAAAGATATAATAATTCTGAATCTGTATATATTTAATAGCATAATTCCAAAACATAAAGTAAAAATGAACAGTTCTTGGGGAAATTTAACAAATACAAAATCATAATGGAAGATTTTAATCTAATGCTCAATAATTGATAGGTCAAATGGATAAAAATTTAGTATGGGTAGAGAAGATTATAACCACACAGTTAGTAAGCTTGATCTAATGGAAGTATGTAGATTTCTGCATCCAACTGTAGAGAATAGCCATTCTTTTCAAGCATATAATTTCCACATACTAGATCGCAAAGTAAATCACAATGAACTCAAATTATCTAATAGCACACTAAAAGTATTTTTTGACCATAAAGACATTTAACTAGAAGAAACTCTAAACTTTCCCTCCACTGAGAAATTTAAAAGTATATTTCTAAATACTTAATCAATCATGGAAGAAATTATAGTGCAAATAATAATAACTGAATCAGCATTTGCTGACAGTAGCAGTTTACTAACAGATAGTAGCAGTAGCAGGTCTGCAGTTCCCTGCTGTTCATCAAATTCTGGGTCATCACAGAAGGATTCTGCAGGACAAGGCTGCAGACGTAGGAGACAGATATTGTACCTTAGGCTGTGAAGTTTATAGTTTACTGTTTTTTTTCACCTTAGATTTTTTAATGAGTCTTTTTTTTTTTTTTAAAGAGCAGTTTCAGGTTCTCAGCAAAACTGAGCACAAGGTACAGAAATTTCTCATATATGCACTGTTCCCACATATACACAGCCTCCCAACTAGCAATAACGCCCACTAGAGTGGCATATTACATTAGAGCCTAAATTGATATATCATTCTACTTAAGTCTGTAGTTTACATTTGGGTTCATCCTCAATGTTGTACATTATGTGAATTTTCATAAATGTATAATGATATGTACCCACTATTATAGTACCATACAAGATAATTTCATTGCCCTAAAAATCCTCTGTGCTCCACCAATTTATCCCTCCCTATACCCTAACCCCTAGCAACAACTGATCCTTTTACTGCCTCTATAGTTTTGCCTAAATCAATAAACTTTCACCTTCAAATCAGTAACTTTTCACCTTAAGAAACTATAAAAATAATAAACTAAATCAAAAGCAAACAGAAGGAAGGAAATAAAGACTACAGCAGAAATAAGTGAAACAGAGAATAGAAAAACAATAGAGAATATCAATGAAAACAAAAGCTTGTTCTTTGAAAAGATCAACAAAATGACAAACCTTTAGCTACATTAACAACAACAAAGACTCAAATTACTAAAATCAGAAATGAAAGATGGGATATAAGTACAAACCTCACAGAAATTTTAAAAAGCATTATAAAGGAACACTATGAACAACTGCATAACTTTTATAAGTTTTATAACAAATTATATAACTTAGGTGAAATTGACAAAATCCTAGGAAGACTCAAAATACCAAATTTTACCCAACAAGAAATAGAAATGCTGTGAATGGAGTTTTAACAGGTAGAGATTGAGCTAGTAATAAAAAAAATAAAATAAAATAAATAAAAATAAATAAAAAACACTCCCCACAAAGGAAAGCGCAGGCCCAGTTGGCTTTATTGCTAAATTTTACCAGTGTTTATAGAATTAATACCAATTGTTCACAGACTCTTTCAAAAAACAGAAGACATTTCTTGAGTCATTCTGTGAGACCAGCATCACCTTAACACCAAAACTGAACAAAGGCATCAAGAAAATTATAGATTAATATCTCATGAATATGTATGCAAAAATCCTCAACACAATTCTAGAATACGGAATCTAGCAACATGTAAAAAGGATTATATACCAGACCAAGTAGGGTTTATCAAGGAATGTAAGGTTAGTTCAACACACAAAATCAATCAATGATATACCATATTAATAGAATAAAGGACAAAAGCCACATGATCATCTCAATAAGCACAGAAAAAGCTTTTGACAAAACTCTACAGCCTTTCATAATAAAGGAACTCAACAAGATCGGATAAACTATCAAACTCCTTCATCTTGATAAAAGCTATCTACAAACCATCCACAGGTAATAGCATACTTAGTGGCAAAAAACTAAATACTTTTTCCCTAAGATCAGGAGTACAAGCTAGGGATGGCTGTTCTCACCACTCTTGTCCAACATAGTGCTGGAAGTTCTAGGCAGTGAAGAAAATAAGGCAAGAAAATAAAGCAAAAGGCATCCAAATTAAAAATAAAGAAGTAAAAATAGCTCTGTTCACAGGCATGATATTGTATGTGGAAAATCATAAGGGATCCATAAGAAAACTATTAAAACTAATACTCAAGTTCAGCAAAGTTTCAAGATACAGGATCCATACACAAAATTTTTGGAATTACTAAATGCTTGCTGCTCACCCCCGAAAAGTTTACCTACATGGACATTACCTACATTACCTACAGGGGTGGGGCACAAGTAGATTTACAGTTGTGAGTATGTGAAACACAGAGTTTATTTTTGTGTTAGTATTTATTAATTATTATATTATTTGTTTGTATTACAACTCCTTTTGCCCATCCCATATATGCATAAAGAAATCCAGCAAGGGAAATTAAGTGTCTGTTAATTAGAGCAGAATTTATCACATCTATTTTTAGCCCACACATTAAAATTAACAGCATTGTTGAACACTTCGTATATGCTAGACATCGTTCATGTGCTTTACATACATCAATGTATTAATGCATTAGTTAATGCATTAACTAATTAGTTAAGGCAAAGTAAAAGATGAGCAATAATAGCTACTAATAAAAGAACAATTATAATGATATACTATAATAAAAGTTATGTGAATATGGTCTCTCTCAAAATATCTTATTGTGCTGTCCTCACCTTTTCACTTAAAGGAAGCACTTTATGGCTTCTCTTTGGCAAATATCCTAATTGCCAGCATCACTACTCTTGCACTTTGGGGCCATTGTTAAGTTTAGGATGACATGAACACAAGCACTGTGATACTGTGACAGGCAATCTGATAACCAAGACAGCTACTAAGTAGTTAACAGACAGGTAGCATATGCAGCTTCCATGCACTGTACAAAGGGTAAATTTGCATTCCAAGTTGGATGGACAGCACAAGATTTCAATATGCTACTCAGAACGGTAGCAATTTAAAACTTGTGAATTGTTTATTTCTGGAATTTTCCATTTAATATTTTGGACCACAGTTGACCACAGATAACTGAAACCACAGAAAGAGAAAGCACAGATGAGGGGTCAACTGTACCTAGAAATTAGAGAAGCCAGGATTATATATTTTCTTTCCCCAAAAAGTAGTTGAGTGTGTTCCTTTGAGAAGGATGAGATAAATAAGAGCACCAAACTGGGAGTAAGAATAAATGTCTTTCCTCCGGCTCTTGCAAGTTGTGTGACCCTGGGCAATTTACACTCTCTAACCCTCAGTCTCCTCATCTGTAAAAAAGAGGGAGTTGAATTAAGCTATAGCTAAGCCTCATACAACTTCTAATTCTCTTAACACTGGACTTGCTCGATGCCTGACTTATGAGTTACAAACTCTCCCTTTTCCAGCCACCTGGGAACGAAGAGGACCAAGGGAGGCCAGTTACTGTCTTGACATGACAAGAAATAGGAGAAAGAGAAACAAGACCGCATGTCATTTGCACAATTTGCTGCTTCAGCAAGTTGTGGATTTAGGTGAAAAGCATGGTTATAATTAGAGCGACAGCCTGAAAGCTCCACCAGCTAAGATGAGCACAGCTGGATCTTCCCACTGCATGCACAGGAGTCCAGGAGGCTGCTCCAGCCTTGAAAATGATCCTTCTTAAAAGGATTTTCTCCTTCCTCAAGGGAAAGAAAACCCATTGATATAAAACCTCACTTCCCTTCCGGCTTTCCCTGCTAAATGCCACTCCAGTGGAGGCTGAGTGTTGATAAATACAGGAGAAAGAAAAAATCAGTAAGCTGAGCCTGGTCACATTGACCCTTGTGATATAGTTTTATTTTTAACCTCGAAACACTTGAACTATTCCTGTTGAAGTTTTCTCTCCTTTCTCTGCCTCCTCAACACAACTCTGCTCTGGGCAGTTGATACACCTTCAGCCGCTTCCTGCAAGCTGCTTGCTCACAATCTGGGACGCAGGTGCAGCAGATGCTGACTCAGCACATGCTGTTAAGGTAAGCTTTTCAGACTTGAGCAGGTGCACCAAGGAGATTTTGGAGTGCCGAACATGGAGACGGAGGCTGAGCTGCACATCACCTTTTCGCTCTGAGCAAGAGGATTGTTAAGCAAATTAATTACATATGCTGGGGGCAAGGTAGTGGTGTTCGCGCTAAGAAGAAAACTCAGCCGTATGTAAATTCCTGTTTTGAAATCTAAAATCTTAGAGCAAGAAGAGATTACCTGCTTTCTGACAGTTGAGTTTCTTCCTTCTGTAATCAACCAGAGTGATTGATGAGGGGTTGCAGGCTTGAGGAAAGGAGGTGGTGAGGAAATAGATGGAAGACTAAACCCAGTATTTCTAATTTTAAAGTCCAAATGCTGTGATCTTTATGCCTATCAGTATTTGCTATATTAACTGCAAGTCATTCTCATGTGGTTTAAATTCCATCCCTTGTGTCACTTACCAGTTAATGTGCCACATTGTATTGACTGCATATACTATTTAAACTTTGCCTGCAGAGTTTAAAACACGTTTTTCCCTAACAATACTCCCTAGATATGACTCTATACCCCAGAGCTCTTGCATCCAAAATGCATCTAAGGAATAGAAGTGAAAGTATTTTACAAGTTGCAAAACTTATACAGACTTTTGCACACAAACCATAAATTATTATAGAGTTGTAACTTGCACATCCAGAGGGACAAACATAAAATTATTAATGATAATTACTGTATTGGAAGCTTTAAAATGTAGCTAGATTATTTCTAGGTTTTGGAATAACTGCACAGAATTGGCAGAGATAAGGGAGCAGTGTTTATTTTCTTGTTTCCTCTGAGCCTTGCTTTGGTATTATATAGCTTAGAGTTCAACTAAGGACATCCTGGGAAGTGGCTTATGCAACAAAAAGTGATTCTGTACACTCTGAAGTACACAGGCTAAAGCCATCAATGCCAAGTTAAAGGAGGTCTACCCAGATATTAACACCTGGTTCCTGCCTTCCTGCCTCTGTAACCTCCAGGCACATCCTATAACTGTGCTATGGATGTCTGGGTTATGAGTATGCCTGTTTGTTAGGCACCATTAAATGCACTATGTATAAATGCATAACTGCATTTTGTCTTGCCCGGGTATCCAAGGCACCAAGATCTTCAACGTGTATGCTTGGGTGCTCTCCTAGCAAGACTGGGGAGTGTTGGCTTGGGAGTAACCAAAAAGACACGTTGATTTATAGTGAGCCCTAGGTAATTCATTCTTGGTCAATACAAAACAAATGGTAATTTAAAATACTGATACTAGTCATATAAGCAGCAGATATGAGAATTTACTAGCTAATGAAATAAGTCGAAAGTTTAAAGGTAGAGAGATTTCTAGCATAGGTGGAGAACTGCAGATGGTGAGGTTGAATAGATTTGGAGGAGGATGGTTATGTTTTTAGGGTATAGAGAAAGTGCTGGAATCATAGCCCTGAAGCCTGAGAGTATGGAACAGAGGTGGGAATTATCTTCAGCCAACTGGTTATGTTAAAATCTCAAGAAGCAAAGAGGGGATTACTTTAATATTTAACTTTATACATTTTCTTTCCCTAGAATTAAATACCTCCATAGTGAGGAAACAGGTACACAATGTATAATTAAAGTAACTAATTAATGGACTGGTTAATAGGTTAAAATTTAAAGAATATCTCTGATCTTTAACTTCTGATGTCACTTCCACTGGAGTTAGAGCTCAGGAATAAATAATTATTGCCATGAAGAGGCAAAATAGTTAGTCACTGACATCATGTGAGGGGTGCTGAGAGGAGGGCCCTTTGCCTAAAAATATCTCTGTGACATCAGCTATAACTTTAAAATTATAGTAAAGAATGTTAAAACTATTATCTGGTAATCCCATTCTCTTTTTGCTTGAGTCAGTGATTTAAATATACCTGCCATATGCCTTCTCATGACTTTCTTGGCGAGCAACACTTAGTCACCACCTCTTCCTCATTTTTCCAGGCTCTGTCCTATTTGTCCTTGGTACCATCTAAGTTGCCCACATGCCCTTGACCACCACTGCACAGGTAGCTCAATGTGACACTGGTTTCTACAGAATCTCTCAATAAAACATCAAGGTAAAGAGTATGGGTAAGACACTTTATTTGTCTGGGCCTCAGTTGCTCTTGTAGGAAATGAGGGGGTTAAATTAGACCCTTTTCTTTCAAAATGAGTTCCTTAAACCATCAGAATTGTCTAGAACTTATTATATGAAAAGACTGTCAGGCCCCACCCCAGACCTACCAGATCAGAATCTTTAAAAAGATTGCTCAAGTGATTCCTATGCACATAGAGGCTTTCTGGTTATACGCCTAATTCAGGTTACTGATTTATGTCTGTAGGACTTAGAACAAGTACCACAACCCCTGAAAACAGTTCTGGCAGCATTTCAGAGTGTCTATGGATAACCTGAGTTCTCTGAAGTCTTTTCCATTCAGTTAAGTCTATATTAACCTAATAAACTTGAAAGCATTTCTTTTTCCTACTTAAAAAAAAAGCCCCAAATTAGCATACATCTGTCATCGTTATACGTTCCTCCTAAATTTGTTTCAAATTGCTATCTTTGAAAGACGTTCCTCTTTCAAAATGCTGCCTTCTTTTGGGTTCTATTCAATTTCATTCAATTTAATCCTATTCAGTAAATGCTAATTGAGTCCTGGGAGCTGTGTCAGCTATACTCACTCTCCATCCCTCAGCAACCATTTTACACATTCCTTGAGGTCATTCGCCTTTGCTCTCTGGGCTCTGTTGATATTCCACTCAGAGCTCCTTTTACTGCAGGAAATCATTCTCCTGCTCAGATTACGTCTGCTCCATCCATGGCTCCATCAGGATCTCTACCCCACTCACACTCTCACAGCAACACTTCTCTCAGGTTGTACTGACTCCCACAACCAATTGACAAGAGAGAAGTGGAGCCTCAGTTGATACCTTCCTTTTTTTTTTATTTTGTTTTTGTAATGAGCAACATAATGTAGGCAAACAATTAAATTACAAACTTGAATCTAGGGGGAAAAAATGCCCTCCTCTTGCCTTTGTGGCATCTAAATGGCATTCTTGGCTGATGCAGTACTATTTGAATTCCTAAGAAATAAATGCTTTGTGTTGATTACCAGGGGCCAAAAAGGGGAAGAGACTTGGGGGAACTCACATTTTTAGAGGAGTAAGGTAAGATTTTTTTTTTTTTTACGAGTATTAAACTGGCAGTGGTATATAAGATACATTTGAATGAGGGAGAACTGAAAATTGAAAGGCCAGCCAAGAGCGGTGGAAGCGATACAATGGAAAGAAAGAAAGGCCTGGACAAGGAAGAGGACCATGAGAATGGCCTCCCTAACAGAGGAATGACTAACAAATGAATGAGTCGTATGTTAGACACTTTCCCTATTTTATCTCATTTGATCCTTACACACCCTTATGGGTTATGATGAGCCATACTTTATAGATGAATAAATTAGTTTTAGGGAGATTAAATAAGTTCTCAAAAATTACTTAGCTAATATATGAGAGGGTTCCTTTATTTGCTTTTAAATTGGAGCCTTCACATAAGGCCTCTTTGTAGAGGTAATGTGTAAACTGAAATTTAAATGGCAAGAAAGAGCCCATAACACAAATATAGAGCAAGGGAAGAATCTTGGCAGAAAGATCAAGTAGAAAGCCCCTACAGAGGATTAAGCAACAGGCTTGAGCCATGTGCTCCAGGGTAAGAGAAAAAAATAAAAGAGGCAAGCAAGAGACACTGGGCTTTGTGAGCCAAGATAAGGACCTTGGAGTTTATTCCTCATGATGGAGACCCACTAGAGATCTTTAAGTGGGAATAATAACCTAGTACTAAAAGTTGTTAAAATCACTCTCTATGCTGGTGAATATAGATTCCAGGGCACAAGATGGGAGGAGTGAAACTGATTGTCAGGCTATTGCACCAGACTAGATGAAAGACAATGGTGCTCAGACCAGGCAGTGGTAGTGGAAATGGAAAAAATGGATAGAAATGCCCACTGCCTTTTCAGATATTTCTCAAAGGCCTTCCCACCTAACTGAGCAGTAGTTCCTTTTTGATTAGGTGAATAGTATCTAGCATTTTCTAGCTTAGTAGTTCTCTAATTGAGCTTACAACAGAATCAGATGGAGTCAATAAGTCTGATTCAGGAGGGCCCAAGAATCTATATTTCTGACAAGTTCTCAGGTAATGCTGATGCTGTTAGTTTGACTATACACTGTAAGGACCACTATTTTAGCTGACTTACATTTACTTATTAACTTCCTGCTTTCTGAATGGTCCACCTAGCACCACAGCCTACTTCAAATAAAGTTTCTTCTGGCTGACGAGGTTCTAAATACTTTCCTATTTCTTAAAAGAACCATCCATCCCTCAAACTCATGTACCAGGTCCTTTTTTCATTTTTTTTTTCTGTGCTAATTTTTATTTTTTAAAGTCTACTTTATTGATTATGCTATTACAGTTGTCCCATTTTTTCCTCCCTTTATTCCCCTCTACCCTGCATCCCCCTCCCAACAGCATTCCACCCCTCCACTGCACCCCCACAGCTTAGTTCATGTCCATGGGTCATACATATAAGTTCTTTGGCTCCACTTCCTATACTATTCTTAACCTCCCCCTGTCTATTTTGTACCTACCAATTATGCTGCTTATTCCCTGTATCTTTTCCCCCATTTTCCCCTCTCCCCCTCCCTGCTGATAACCCTCCATTTGATCTCCATTTCTGTGATTCTGTTCCCATTCTAGCTGTTGGCTTGCTTTGTTTTTGTTTTTGTTTTTAGGATCAGTTGTTGATAGCTGTGAGTTTGTTGTCACCTTAGTGTTCATAGTTTTGATCTTCTTTTTCTTAGTAAAGTTCCTTTAATGTTTCATGTAATAAGGGCTTTGTGATGATGAACTCCTTCAACTTGACCTTATCTGGGAAGCACTTTATCTGCCCTTCCATTCTAAATGATAGCTTTGCTGGAGACAGTAATCTTAGATGTAGATCCTTGTCTTTCATGACTTTGAATACTTCTTGCCAGCCCCTTCTTGCCTGCAAGGTTTCTTTGGACAAATCAGCTGATAGTCTTATGGGCACTCCTTTGTAGGGAACTGTCTCCTTTTCTCTTGCTGCTTCTAAGATTCTCTCCTCATCTTTAATCTTGGGTAATGTAATTATGATGTGTCTGGGTGTGTGCTTCCTTGGGTCCAACTTCTTTGGGACTCTCTGAGCTTCCTGGGTCTCCTGGAAGTCTATTTCCTTCGCCAGATCGGGGAAGTTCTCCTTCATTATTTTTTCAAGTAAGTTTTCGATGTCTTGCTCTTCTTCTCCTTCTGGCTCCCCTATGATTTGGATATTGAAATGTTTAAAGTAGTCCCAGAGGTTCCTAAGCCTCTCTTCAATTTTTTTTTTTTTGAATTCTTGTTTCTTCATTCTGTTCTGGTTGAAAGTTTATCTCTTCCTTCTGCTCCCAATCATTGATTTGAGTCCTGCTTTCCTTCCCTTTACTGTCAGTTCCCTGGATATTTTTCTTTATTTCACTTTTTCCTCCATTTTCAACCATTCACAACCATTTCTGTGAGCATCCTGATTACTAGTGTTTTAAACTGTGCATCTGATAGGTCAGCTATCTGTTCATCGCTCAGTTCTATTTTTGAAGCTTTGATCTGTCCTTTCATTCGGGTCATATTTCTTTGTCTCAGCACTGTTGTTATGTTTTAAAGGGAGGAGCCTTAGTTATTTGCCAGGGTGGGGCAACCCAGGTCACTGCGTTGCGATGCTGTGTGTAGGGGAGGGGTCCAAGCCGGAAGAATGCTGCTTGCTTAGCTCTCGGCTGGCTTCCAGTCACTTTCCCTCCTACCCACCAGCAAATTTGGCCCTTTTGGTGCTGACTCTCAGGTGTGTGGGTTTGTGTACATTCTAGGACCCTGTGAGTCTCTCCAAGGAACACTCCAGAGAGGCTAGGAGTTTCTCCTGTGGCCACACCCCCACAGGTTTCTACAGCCAGAGGTTCTGAGGCTTTCTTTTCCCATGCTGGAACCCTGGGTTGCATGGTTTGTCTTGCTCCCCTGTTGTTCCTCCTGGTTTATCCAAATGCAAATGTGTGACTGCCCCACACAGTCTCACCTACCTAGTCATCCAGCTGCCACCTTGCTGTGTATCCCCTCTGCCTGTCTGTCCTGGCTGCCTGTCTCTGCACCTCCTAACAGTCTGAATGAATATTTTCTCTTTAACTCCTTGGTTGTTGGACTTCCATTCAGTTTGATTTTCTGGCAGTTCTGGTTATATTTCGTTTTTAAATTTGTTGTTGTCCTTCTTTTGGTTGTGCAAGGAGGCAAAGTGTATCTATCTATGCCTCCATCTTGGCCTTTCAACTTTCAACTACTCACATTCCACTCAAACTGCATCCAGTACAACGAGCAAAATCTAGTTCTGTGTAGATCTTTGAACTACTTAAGTCTAAATTTTATTGGCTACTGTCTCATCTAGATAGGAGAATTTTGAAACATTTTGGGGACAGTGTTTTTGCCATAGACTTGATTGAAATTGATTTTTAAGAGGAGGGTATGCCTTGACTTTTCAGACAGGAAGCAAGAATTTAAAGATGAGCAGAAGTTGACCATAAACTGTAGGAGGAAATGGCACCTGGATAACCGTATGTTGTTGTAGGCATAGAATTTTGTCAACTTTTCCACAATGAACAGTTTTGATAATTTATGTGCTTTAGTGTCTCATTTTAAATTTCAGAGTCCATATTGTAGGGCAGTTTTTTAACCCTCAAAATTTCACTTTCACATTTATTGTCCTTGAAATGTAGAACCACGGGACTTAGACAATTTTCTTATTTCCTCTTTTCAGATGGGGCACAGTATGGCCATGGTCCAGAGGAGAACCCCCAAAAAAGTCATCACAGGGTGCTTCCTAATGAAAAGTATCTGGCTTCTCTATAATTTGGAAAGATTATACATGTAGATGCCCCTCTGTGTCCTAACTGGAGGAGGGTGGCTCTCCCCCTGATAAACTCTACTCATGGGCTTGCTTACTCCCATATTATGGGATGGGCCACATAATGCCTCTGTGGGTCTCCTAGGAACACAGTGTGATCTAGCAAAGAGTACAGAATTTGAAGCCAGATAAACTTAGGGTTTTTTAGGGGGGGAGTTGTTTTGTTTTGGGTTTCCTTTTGTTTTTTGTTTTTATTGTGCCTCAGAATCCTTGTCTGTAAACTAGAAATGGTAATACCTTCCTCATATGGTCATTGTATGGATTAAATGAGATGTTACATAAAAGCACATGTTAGGCACTAAAATCTTGTTTCTCTTTCTCATGACTTCTAACATGCAGAGATATCACTAAATTTAGGAAAATCAGACAAACCCACAGAGGATAAGGATCCAGTCTCTGCACCAAAACAGAGGTGAGTAGAACAGGGCATCATATCTCCCAAGACAACCAATAGTATATCTAATGCGATCAATTTGGGGCAACAGCAATTGGCTTCAAATAAGGTGATCAATTAGCTGAGAGGCATGCTAGGACCTGAGACTTACAGTGATAAAACCAGGAGAGCCCCAGGCAAACCAGGGCCATTTGTCATTGTACTTACCCCGCAATAATTAGACTATCAAGGATTTTGGACTGTCCTTTATCCCAGTGAGAAAAATTTCCCCCAGATATACAACAAAATGTTTATATATGATTTTTTATGTCCTTAGGCTGTATTTACCTTTCTATATATACCTGTAAAATTTCTCCAGAGTCCTCTCTACTCGCTGTGTCATTTTGCTCAATACATGTCCTCTCTCAAAGTCACTTATTTGGTGTAGTTCCAGAGCCTGCCAGAAGATCTTTAAATAGCAGCATTAAAAAAAACAGTAGCATCTTTGTTATCTGCATGCTTTGTTTTTTCTTTTCTCTTAAAGGGACATTTTCAAATACTGTATTTTGCTGTGCGCCCACGTTTTGTGTACATTATACAGGGGATTATTATATCTATGGTATGTAATCATTATACCCAGGTATAATGCACATCCTTATTTTTCCCTCAGGAATTTGGGCAAAAAAGTGCACATTATACATGGCAAAATATGGTAACTTCAAATAGATAGAGAGCAATAAGTCTCCACCACAATTGGTTCCTGCTTCAATAACACTGTTCTTAAGGATCATACTTTATAGCGCTGAAGGATAAGAAATGAGTGCGCTTCAAGCTCATCACCACTGCCACCAGACAAATCTCTGCTACTGGGGCAGGGTTCTCACTACACATGTGTAACATAGAAGTAGCCACACCTGCTTTTCCGTTCCCAGAGACTGGGATTAACTTTGTGACAGAACCAGGCAGGCATATACAAAGTTGGACATTTCTCGTGCTGGTAGCTTTTTTCACACAGCCTTATTCCATTTGTGATCTGCCTCTTCTTTGCTGCCGAAAAACCAGTAGGGGACTCTGACTCATCCAGACTCCATCTTTATTAATTCATATATTTTATGAATAGAAAACAGATGGTGATGCTTTCCCAGCCAGAGCACAGGACCTGCCAACACTGGAGTGCTTAATGGCTTTCCCTTCCGCTCCCAGCAAACACTGCATTTAGAATGGCCAAGGGTCCCACAGCACAGCTGAAGTGCCACATTTGTTCTAGCAAGAACTTTACATTGTCATCATTGTTCTTAACTTCATGGTAGCATCTGAGGCTGTGGCTCACCCTTTCTTTTTTTACATCTGGGTCACATAGTGTTGACTCTTTTAACTCTCTGGTCTCTCTTTCTCAGGCCCTGTTTCTTCCTATTGTCCCCAAAATGGTTAAGCTTAATTATGTACTTCAAGTCTTAGATTTCTGTTTGTGTTACTTCCCCAGTTATAACTTCCTCTCTCATTTATAAGTGGATAATTCTCAAATCTGTATCTCCACATTCTAACACTTGTATTAAACTTGCTGGATCCATCTCCCCCCCCTCCAAACAATTTCATCCTTAGAATTCTATTTTTCTCAGAATTATACCCTCTATTCTCTCTTCTCTGTTCAAAATCTCAGCATCAACTTTGATTCCTCTTTTTTCCCCCATGTCCAGTCAGAAACAAGAGTGTTAGTTGATTTTCCCTTTTAATGCTTCCTATCTGCCTCATCTTACCTATTTCTACTCTCATCAGTCTTTCTCATCCAAGCTTCCCTCACATTCTCTACATCATAGTTTCCAACTCTATGTCCTCCCACTCTATCCCTCCACTATTACTAGTTGACATACCTATTACAGTGTTAAATGGCTCCTTATTAAGTACCAAATAATTCCAGATGCTTTAGCCTAGAATTTATAAATTCCCACAATAAGTCCACAATAGACATTTACCCCCAGGAGTGGTCTGGATGTTAAATTGTATTTTAAAAGATCCAATAGCTAGACCTTTGACCCCAAAAGATATCCTCTGCCCAGTCTTATTCTGCTCCATTTCAGTTCAACCATCACAGCCCTTCACTCTGCTTAACTTCCTCTCTGGCTTTATTTAACACCTTGATTTATCTTCTATTGGGACCTCATCCCATTCTGGCTTGCAGCTTCTCATCTGCCCTCTGATTCAGGCTGACTGTTAGGGGTATAGAACATTCTGACAGGATCTTTCTTCACCCCCAGGAGCCCCAGTCCATAAGAATCAGATGGGGAATGTGTTAAGAATTTAAGTTCCAGGATATCTCTCAATCAGATCAGGGCTGTAGCCCACATCTATAGCAATGTTGTTATAGAATATTCTCTGAAAATGGTAATGTTGTATTCTGTGTTGTCTAATAGAGTATCTACCAACCATATGTGACTATTGAGCACTCGAAATGTAGCTAGTATACCTGAAAAACTAAACTACCAATTATATTTAATTTTGATTAATTTGTTTATCTTTATTTTTAAGTCATGTTTATTCTATTACTCTTGTCTCAATTTTACCCCTTGCCCTCTTCCACCCATCCCACCCCACTCCCAGCTCCCAAAGTCAATTCCCACTCTGTTGTCCATGTCCATGGGTCATTCATACATGTTCTTTGTCTAGTCCCTTCTCCTTCATTCCACCATTGTCCTTCTTCCCCATCCCTTCTGGTCACTTTCAGTCTGCTCCATGTTTCCATGCCTTTGGTTTATTTTGTTCGTTGGTTTATTTTGTTAAATAGATTCCACTTATAGGTGAGACCATAAGGTATTTGTCTTTCATTGACTGGCTTATTTCACTTAGCATAACATTTTCCAGTTTCATCCATGTTGTCACAAGAGGTAGGACTTTCTTTCTTTCTTAAATGCAGATTTATTTATTTATTTATTTTAAATATCAAGATCCATTATAAAATATTAAAAAATTTAAATCCATTATAAAGCCTCAGCAGTTAAAACAACATGGTAATTTTGATTAATTTAAATTTAAATAGCCACATGTGGCTGGTGGGTACCACATTGAACAGTGCATCAGAAACATCACATGTATTCACAAGCATCATAGCTGATTCTAATGAACAATAGTGTTTAACAACCACTTTAACAAGCAGTCCAGGTGACCCTCATACTCACTTACTGGCACATAGTATGTAATCAACAAATGCTTGTTAAAGGAATGGATGAACAAATGAATATATAAGTGACCCAGAATGTAATTTTCATTGAAGTTCAAGTCTGTACCTTCTGAAAAAGAAACGTTGAGGGGGGCTTTCCTGAATTCAGGAAATATTCAGGCTAAAAACACCAACTATAAAATTAAATTTAAAAAAAGAAAGAAAGGGAAAGTGATTTTCCTCTCTAAAAAACAGACAAAATCCACTTACCAACCAAATGTAATAAATTGACATTAAAGGGATCCTGGTTCACAAATTTAAAAAACATATATGACATTTGGGAGAGATTTGGAGAAATTTGAATATAGATAACATGTTATATGATATTAGAAAATTATTTTAAGTTTTCTTAGGTAAGATAGTGTTATTGTAATTATAAAATAAAATGTCATTATTCTTAGAAAATACATGTTGAAATACTTAGAGGTAATATCAGCAGTTTATTTTCAAGAGTTTCAGCCAAAAATGTGTAAATTTGTGTGCGTGGAGAGAGAGAGAGGGAAAAAGCAAAAGTGTCCAATGTTAACAATTATTGAATCTACGTAGAGTATATTTGAGTGTTTATTGTATATATTCTTTATCCTTTTATGTATATTAAAAAAAATTTTAAGTTGAAGGAGAATTCACTATGAATTGGCAAACCCTAAAGTAAATTAAAATAAAATTTTAAATACTGCATCTTCTGACTTTTGGGTGCCAAATTCTTCCCAGACTAACACAGTGCTGAAATTGTGTTACAAATTCTCTAGGCCAGGCATTGCAAACTGGCAACTACAGGTGCTATATAGGGTGCATATATGTTTTTCCTTGGCCCAAATTGAGGGTTTTTTTAAAGAAAAAATTAGTTGCCAACATTCAAAATTCCAAGAATTTTTATCTTGATATATTATATAATAAAATATTTTGCAATATAATGAAATATAAAATACTTATAATAGCAAACATATATAGATGACTTCCTATGAGACAAGTACTCTTCTAAGAGTTTCAGGTACTGCAGTTAACTCATTTGCTCCTACCATTAGGTAGGTACTATTACTATTCTCCCTTTACAGATGGAAAACTGATGAACAAAGGGGTTAAGTAACTATCCTAAAGTTTCACAGCTACTGACTTGTAGTGCTAGGGTGGAATCCTATGTTATCTGCCTAATAACTACTGCAGTATACCACCACTCACAAATCGCACCCCCAGTTTCTCTGGGAAAATCAGAAGATCTGGCAACACATACCACATGGGATCAACTGACCAGAGCCAAAAAGCTACATTCCCCTGAAGGCAGGGCATCTTCTCTTATGCTTGCCAGAGCCCCCATTTAGCCTGCTCCTGGGGCCTTATGGGTTATGCCCCTGCTCTAGCCATGGCACAGCTGAATACACCAGAGTGAATGACATATGATAGATATTTCAGACACTTGTACACTGCATAGACTAAGCTGGATATCAGACTTTTTTAAGTGGACATGAAGACCCAGTGGGAGAGAAGGCTAGTTACAAGGGTAACTTGGACCAGATGTTTGTGTATGTGGTGGTGTTTGGGGGGAAATGTCAGGATAATTGTTCGTAGATGATGGAGAAAAGTTATAAGAAGCATGTTACACATTCCATAGTTGGTAAGAGGTCCCATCAGAGGGCAGGAAGGGTCAGTGAAAAGAGCATAGGCTAGGATGGCCTGGGTTGGGACTTGATTGCTGCTATAGAAATTTGAACACGTTATTTAACTTCTCTGGTTTCCATTTTCTTGACTGTAAAATGGGTCAATGATACCTCCAGGATGGTGGGAGGAATTAAATTAGAGACAGTATATGAAGTCTCTTTGGCCCCTGTTAATATAGATAAACAAAATACTTTTCTTACTAATCATTCATATTCATATTTTCCCTTAGCATTATAAAGCAAGAAGAAATTAGGAAGCTATGGTAAGTACCAAGTTCTTCTTGGATCTTTACAAATTAGGGGTCCAGGTCTGGCTTCATTTAGCCTGTAACCTAAGCAGCTGGTAGACTTGTCCTTGTGGCTTGATGATATTTATTGTCTTTTGGCCAAACCAGGGTTGCTAGAGCAGAGCCCGGAAGAAACGGACACAGAGTAGGGAAATAGCAGAGACCTGAGAAATACTTATGAGCAAAGATTTTTAGTAAAACTTTAAAAACAAAACAAAAAAAGCAAAAAATGCAGCAATAACCTAAATGGCTAACAATTTCTTCATTTGGTATATTATTACCTACAATGGCAGGTGCAAGGGATGCACATGTGAACAAAGCAGACATGGCCCCTGCCCTCCCAGCATGTCTGCTAGTGGTAGTTGGTTAAATGAATGATAGCACTTTCATTCTGGAATGCTACACTGCCATTATGAAGGACGTTTGTAGAGAATAATTAATATGACAGCCTAGTCTCGTGTTATAATAGCGAATTAAAAAGAAGGATGCAAAATTGTATTCATAGTATTAACTGTGTAATATGAATCACTCATAATCCACAACTTAAAAATAACAGTTGTCAACATTGAACTTCATTACATTTAGCATCATTTTCCCCCTCTTCTAAACACCTCTACTACATACATGAAATAAACTAAGAAAATACATAAAAGTGCATTATAGTTATTATATCTGGATTGTGGGATTATGAGTGATTTGGGGCTTTTTTCTCTATGGTTGTCTATATTTTCCAAGTCTCCTATAAGGAACATGCACAAACAGGAAATAAGTCAATTAAAACACAGTCACAGACACACATAGAGCTTCTGACCCAGCACTCATTTGTTTTCTCTTTCCCTTTGTCTTTGGTGTCTCCAGGGCAGGGCACGCAGGCCTCCACCTGGGCAGCACAGACATTGCGAGAGATGCTTCAACCGTCACTGCCATGTTCCTGTGGAGCCCAATGTCTCCTGCATGGTGATAAACTGCCACTTATCCTGTGGTGCCACCTTCCACATGTGCAAAGAGGCAGAGCATGAGCTCCTGTGCCCTTTAGAGCAGGTTCCGTGCCTCAACTCTGAATATGGCTGCCCGCTTTCCATGTCCCGCCACAAGCTGGCCAAGCATCTGCAAGTGTGCCCCGCCAGCGTGGTCTGCTGCTCCATGGAGTGGAACCGCTGGCCAAATGTGGACTCTGAAACAACCCTTCATGAGAATATCATGAAAGAGACCCCCAATGAGGAATGTTTGGACACAGCCCTAGCCCTCCAGGACCAGAAGGTCCTTTTCAAATCCTTGAAAATGGTAGAACTTTTCCCAGAAACTAGAAAGCCCACCAAGGAGGAACCTACTCTGAATGGAGAAGCCAGTTGGGAAGAAATGGCGGGAGCGGTCGGTGGAGCAAACACTGGTTTACTACCACATAGCTCTCTGTCAGCCACTAAAGGAGAGATGGCAGAGCTGAGTCAAGAAGAACGTGAGGTCTTGGCCAAAACCAAAGAAGGGATGGACCTGTCCAAGTTTAGCAAGTGGGAAAATATTTTCAGCAAAGAGAACGCAGCCTCTGCTTTAACAAACTCATCAGCGAGCTGTGAGAATAACAGTGATGGCCAAGGGAAAGAACAGATTTCCAACGGCAATAATGTGGTGGGAGAGGACACTGCTAAAGGGAAAGAATCACAGGAAAACCAGAAACAGCAGGGCTGTCATGCAGCTGTGGAAACAACAGGGCTTGCCCCTTGGCAGGATGGTGTCCTGGAAAGACTGAAAACAGCTGTGGATGTGAAGGACTATAATATGTATCTGGTGCACAATGGGAGGATGCTAATTCACTTTGGTCAAATGCCTGCTTGTACACCTAAGGAAAAGGACTTTGTTTATGGCAACCTTGAGGCTCAGGAAGTGAAGACCGTTTACACCTTCAAAGTTCCTGTGAGCTACTGTGGGAAGCGGGCTCGCATTGGTGATGCCATGTTGAGTTGTAAGCCAAGTGAACACAAAGCAGTAGACACTTCAGATTTAGGGATCACTGTGGAGGACCTGCCCAAATCAGATCTCATCAAGACCACCCTCCTGTGTGCTTTGGAAAGAGAACTCAAAGGTCATGTCATCTCTGAATCCAGGAGCATTGATGGGCTGTTCATGGATTTTGCTACTCAGACATATAGTTTTGAGCCAGAACAGTTTTCCTCTGCAACAGTGCTGGCTGACCTAACCACTTCCAACCCAGAGGGGCTCCATGTGGAACTCCACAGTGAGTGTGTGACCAGGAGACACAACAAGAGTAGCTCTGCCTTCACTTTCACTTGCAACAAATTCTTCAGGAGGGATGAATTCCCTCTGCATTTCAAAAATGTCCACACAGACATTCAGTCATGTCTCGATGGCTGGTTCCAGCATCGGTGCCCCCTTGCCTACTTGGGATGTACATTTATTCAAAACCACTTCCGTCCCCCGGGACAAAAGGCAAAAGTGATCTATAGTCAAGAGCTCGAGACCTTTGCCATCAAGCCAGAGGTTGCATCAGAGCTGAATGAGGGAAGGAAGAACAACTATCTCTCAGGCCATGGAGGAAAAAGCCAGAGTTCTCTAACCAGCTTGCCCTTGGAGGTTTTGCAGTACATTGCTGGGTTCTTGGACAGCATCAGCCTTTCCCAGCTCTCCCAGGTGTCTGTGCTGATGAGGAATATCTGTGCCACTTTGTTACAGGAGAGAGGGATGGTCCTCCTGCAATGGAAGAAGAAGAGGTATTCCCATGGAGGCACCTCCTGGAGAGTTCACAGGAAGGCGAGTAAACACTCATTAATTTATTCATTCATTCAACAAATATTTAAGAGCTTTATATGTTCCAAGCACTCAGCTATGCACTGGGATTGTACTAGGTTCCTGGAAATAAGTCATAATTCTTGAGCACAAGAAGGTCAGTCTTGTAGAGAAGACAGACCTATAAACATATTAATGGCAAAACAAATGTCGGTGCCTGTTTATCTCTATGTATGTGTGCTGGATATCTTCTGTTTGCTCACATAATCCATTCTCCAGCCTTCTCCAACATAACCTGTCCGCCAGGGTGCTGATGTCTACAGACTGCCTCAGCTGGCTTCCTTGCCTTCCGGCTTCTGATTAGGCTACCTAATGGGACTGTATCAACAGGAGATGGGAGAAAGGGAGAAGAGTAAAGTTGACATTTCTGTTCTTCTAGCTTCCTCCCTGCATGTATTCTCCCTCCATGACTCTTGGCAGTGGCTGTGTCCCTCCACTGAAGGTGGCTATATCAGGTGGTTCTCTCCACACAATGACTCATTCAGGTCCAATGACCTCCCTTCTTCCCTTTCAAGCCTAGGGCAGTAATACTCTAGATTGGTACTAGCCCAGGTACTGCCCTATATCTTGTGGCTTTCCTAAATCTTGTCCACAATTTGTATATCACTCCTTTTTAAAATTCTCTTCAAATTACCCCTGAGTGTGCCATCTGTTTCCTGCATGGACCCTGACTGACACATATGCCAATAAATTCCCTGTAGTCCCACATCAACTAATTTTTTTTAAGTTTTTGCCTTCGTTAAAGGAATTTTGAAATTCTAAAATAACTTGGTTCACTGACTTCCCCTATTAATTTTTTCAAAAAAAACTCTGCTGTAAAGTTTTTTTTTTTCAAATGTATTTCTTTTTCCCAGCCAGTTTATACTTACTTAACTGTATTATAACTTCTTTCACCTTGTACCATACAGCAGTGAGGCTTCTAATTCAGCATATCCAAAGTGCCCTTAGCACCCTTTCTTTTTGTAAATATGTTGGTAATATGCACTATAAATTTATGTGCCCACTGAGGTCAATAATTCCATTACAGTTGAGTTTCTTCCCAGTATGCGAGTGTGTGCAAACTGGCATTGGGGAGTTAGAGTTGTTTACATCTGTTTTTATTATTTATGTCTAAAACATCTTGTATATTTACTATTATTTACTTCCTGAGCAGTCTTCTTCAAAGAATCATTGAGATTCTCTCTCATGTATCCATGCATACATCCAGACGTTAAATAAACACTGACTGCCAACCAACTATGTGCTAAGGATAAGCATGAATGAGACTAAGCCCCTGCCATTCAGGAATTGTATAGTCTAGAATTGCATAGTATCTTCCTCTGTAAAATCAGATGCAAATAATTTCATTTATATACTAGAAATTCCATTATTTTTTGGCTCATGTTTGTTCCCAACTCAGTGATTGCTGCTCACTGTTTAATATAATTTGGGATATGTTAATTTCTTTGCAGAACAAAAAAGAGAGAAATTAGTCAGAGAGTCCTTTAACTCCAAGTAAATACTCTTTCTGGATTTAAAAACGCTCTTTAAAGTAAAAAGGGAAATTGTTCTAAGATCCCAGGAAACATTTTACTTACATATGATCAATGACAAGAAACTGAGGGTCAAGTGGTCATATTGAAGGGATATCAGGTTATGCCTACTCTCATAGCCAGATTTTAAAACTAGTGACTTTGCCACCACATCCTAGGTGGAAAAGCCAGAGGGTGTTTGAGTACCAGACTCCTAGTACTGGATTTCCTCTAAGATTTTTCTTCTAAGATTTCTTATATGTAGCAATACATTTAGTTTCAAGCAACAGAAAACCAACTTAAAGTGGCATAAACAATAAAGAGAATTTATTGGACCCAAATATCCAAAAAGTCCAAAGGGAATAGCTTCAGGTAAAGGCCTGATCTGACAGCTCAAGAAAATGCCCCCAAATGATGTTTTTCTTTCAATTTTTTATCCCGAATTCCTCAATAGCAGCTCCATTGTAAAAGATAGTGCTCCTTGGTGGTTCCTGGTAGCTACCAGTCACACCTGAAACTGCAGTTTCCCAAGTACATCTTGTACTTGCAGTTCAAGTACAGAGGGGAAAAGAAAATCTGCTTCTTGATATCTCAAAAAAAAAAAATGTTCTGGATTAGAGTCATTGAAACTAATTGTCCTGATTTGAACCATGCGTCTATTCTAGAACCGGTGTGTGTGTGTGTGTGTGGTGGTAGCGGTGGTGGGGAGGGTTCAATATGCAGAGTAGTATCAGTCACTCCAACACAACTGCATGGCTGGCTAGGAAGATTATCTATTGGAAGTGGGAATTAGGAATTGGGTGCTAGAGAAGAAACTAACAAAATGTCTGCAGCAGCCACTAACCACTCTCTGGAAGCTAAGAACAGAAAACATCAAGACATTTCCTTACACTGTTCAAATAAAGCTAGCCTGAGGGCACTGCCCCAATGTTCACTTTTGAACTTCCATCTTTCCCAACAGATCTGGCAATTCAGCAGCCTCTTCTCTAAAATCAACAACTGGGAATTCAATGACGTTACCTCCATGTCTGAGCACCTGAAGACCTGTCCTTTCAACGTTGTGGAGCACAAGACTGACCCAATTCTTTTGACCAGCATGTGTCAGCCCCATGAGCAGGCCCAAGAGAGCTTAGTTGCCACCTTTCGAGCTAGACCACAGGGAAGACAAGCCAAGTAAAGAGTCCGATACCACTGTTCTTGAGTTCTTCCTCAGAGTTACTGAAAGTAGGACAGAGTATGTTTTGGGGGACTTCCCCCTGAAAACTGCATATATGCTTATCTAAGTGTACTAGAACATGCAATATCCTCTAAAACCTGAGAAGTTGTACAAAGTCTAAGAACTTCCTAAGCCCTGCCTTGTATAATTGCTATAGTACTGTATTGATGACTTATTTCTTTTCCTTTTTCCTTTTTTATTTCTGAAATAGATTAGCCTAAAGAGAAAATAGGTAACTTGAGGTCATTGAGGAAGATAAGCCCAGTTTCGTAAGAGATGAGAAAGCAGTGAATTCCATAAGCAGCATTAGCCTGTGTTTTTATGGGATGGGGGCATGTCCAGTTTACAAGCATGTTCAAATTTGTGGGGCAGACAATGCCCAGTCTACCATGGTGCAGGGCACACAGTTTGAAGGTTCTAGAACTGGGGCTGTCTTGACTTTCAAGTCCAGGGCTGTTTTTCATTGCCCCGCTTCCCCTAAGCCCAGATATCCAAACACAGCCTGACAGAATAGAGACCTTGGCTAAGCACAGCATCCTTGAGGACACCACAAACCAAAGGATGAAAGGCAGAAATAAGGTCACAGAGTTTGTTGTAGAGAGTCTTGGCAACATATAGAACAACCTTGAAAATTAAGGAGTCCAAAAGAGATACTATATTCTTAAAGAAAATAAGGTCAAAAAACCTCAAGCTTACATTTTCATAGTGACTTAAGAGTTACTGTTCATTTCCACTGAAAATTATACTTTAGGTCTGAATTAGGGAGAACACAGACATAGCCCAGCACCAGCATGCACCGCAGGTCCTGTGGCACTGGTCACCAGGTCCTGGATACCACTTGCGTAGCCCATGGGAGATCTTGGGAAGGAAGTCATGGGAACATAATGGGTCCCTATAATGGCTCCTCCCTGTAACTGGTCATGCCCTCAGTCTGTCAAAAATTGGTGACACTGCTAGTTTTGGGTAACAAACAGCAAATACTCATGAGAACAAAAGTAATAGAAAAATTAATAACAGAAACTGACTTCCCCTTTCCCTAAAGCAGGGTTTTTGGGAACTGCTACCATTGTGCACCAAATAATTCTTTGTCATGAGGGACTGTCCTATGTATTACAGTATATTTCATAGCATCCCTAGCCTCTAGTCGTAGATGCCAGTAGTACCCCCACAGCTGTAACAACCAAAAATGTCTCCAGACACTGTTAATTATCCTATGAATCACTCCTGGTTGAGAACCCCTGCCCTAAAAGATGACATACCAATGGCAGTTAAGTTAGGATCAGCTTTTTAGTACAGCAAAATCTTCTCTCCCACGTAGTTATCTACAATGGTAACAATTTCATCAGCTCTTCTTTATTTATGAAATAGGTTTGAGACACATGGTGGTTTTAAGTTGGAACCAGATGGAGCTGATTTGTTTGGTATGGCTTCGTGCCCTTCAGTCAAATGCAAAAGCCTATCCTTTCGGCTCTCTCTACGTGTAGCTGAAGTCAGGAAAGTTAAGCTAGCCATCTTATGTTTACATCTCTCTCGTTTAATTATGTCATTTTCTAAGCAGTCCTAGCAGTCCACAAGCACTTGAGAAAGAAGGGAAAAGGAGGCTAGGCATTGTGGAGAAGTAGATAACAAAGAATTTAGCCAACAGCAACAACAAAATGACTCCAGTTGATCTGGATGCTTGTTATTGCCTGAATCTCTCTCTGAACATGGTCCAAAGCTGGTGTAGAGGAAGTGGATGACACCTCTGAGAAGAGTCAAGAAGGAACTTGGGCAAGTCCCAGAACAGAAATCTGCTCACCTTTTCATTACAATGTGCCACTTGGTACTCTTCAGTAGTGTAACTATTTTTCCTCATCCTTTTTTGGTTTATATTTCACATTTGTATATAAGGCACCATTTTCTAAAAATATAACTAGAGTGTGAGCTAAGATTTTATTCAGTGAAGATAAATAACTGGAAACAAACCCTGAAGTGGGAAAAAAGATAGAATTCTCCAGGTATCAGTTTCATGTGTTTTGGACCTAGTCCTTCCTATATGGAGAAAGAAACCTCCTAAAGTCAATTCTGGGTTTCTTATTTTATTAGGAAAAAAAGGAGAGAGAGGGAGAAAGGGGAGAGAGATAGGCCAAGGGAGGTGAGAATTAGAGGCTACTGTTACATGGGTGACAAGTACAGGGAAAGGTGGAGAGCAGAGGGCTGCCCCCTGCCAGTCAGGTGGGAGGGGCAGGCCAGGAACAAGAGAGCCATCAGGAGAGTGCCACACTGCTCTGTGGGCTGCACACTCCAGCTGCACTGTGCTTTCTCTGTTGCTGCCTTCAGAGCAACACTGAATCAATCGACATCACCAAACACATGTTATAAGATATGTAATAGTATATGTTGCAGAAAGCAGGGTGCTGCAGTGTATCCACCGGTCTACCGAAACAAGCACATTTTGTGGTGAGAGGGCAGTTAGAGCAAAAGGAAACTGTTTTACAAAGACTGAATTAGAAGATGATTTGGTTAGTGAGTTAAGGCTGTACTGAGCAGCATGAGTAGCAAACATTATCTAACAGAGGCAAGACAGGCATGGCCTCAGACGGAGAAACCCTGAGAGGAATGAAAAGGGACTGTGTTCCCAGGATGGAGAGATGTCTGTGAGTATCATCACCAAGGTAACTGGTTCAGAGTAGAAATCAGCTGAACTTGGAGGGTGAGGTCTGTAGGACTGTTGCCTTAATAGCATAGGAATCTAGAAAAGAAGTTTCTGTCTTAAAATAAAGGGAAATGTGAAAAGCAAGGTGGGCCTTGGAAATGTAGCAAGAAAACTACTGTAAAATTCTGATCTATGTGTGATGTCAAATAAAACTGAAGTGAGGAATGAGATTGTGAATATCTGTGAACTTTACGTCTGTATGCTGGAAATCCTAACATCTCTATAAGCAGAAATATAAGCTGCTTTGCACTCTTAAAGGCTAATTGAGAAAATCTTGTAAGTTAGGTCAAGAAACAGATTTGTGATCCACTGGCATAAATGTCATTGTGGAAACAAAGGATTATGTGTCTTAGAGAAAAGCCAAGGAACAAGACAGGGGCACAGTGCTCTGGACACATGGGCAGTTCAAAATTTTAGGAAGTCCTGGAGCATCTATGGAACTCAGTCACCAATCCTTGCTCCCACCATCTTCTTCATCTTTGAAAGCTGGACCCAACTTCAGATACTGGTTACAGCACAGACTTCTTACCAACAAAGCATTTCCTACACCAACAAACTGACTTTGATTTTGACTTTGTTTTGATTTTTGCCTAGGATTTTCTATCTTGGGCCTTAGTGAGCCCAATGGCCTGGGCTAGGATAACCCCACCATGCTCTGCCCTCTCCTTGTCTTTCATCCCTGTGCTTTGCCAGGTGATTTGTTTTTTGCCCATCACTGGCTGTCCACGTGTCCTCACCTTATTTCCTGTCAGCCTCAACCCTGAAATCACACAGAAGCTTCATGAGCTTCTTCCATGTACCCTCTTACTTGGCCATCAATTTTGGTCATCCAGCTAACTACAAAAAAAGCCTGGGCTTTCTTGAGTAGAGGACACTCTCTCTGCCTAAATCCTCTTACCACTTCATCAGAGGCTGTGTTACTTTAGCTTTCGTCTTTTTTTGTTGTTGTTATTGCCAAATCTCCCTTTTCCTCCTTCTTAATCCCTAATTTATGCTTCTTCCTCAAGAATCATCACATCCTGAAAGAGTGTTGTCATTACTCCAAGGCAGAAGGTGGCTGGTCTCTCACAACTGGGGAAGCCAACAGAAGTTGACACTACCTGGCCTCCTATTCCCCGACCTTACCACCATTCCCCAGGCTGATCTGTTTTGGACTAGATTTAAGTACAGCCTTAAAAAAAGGCCCAGTACTAGGCCTCCAGAGCAGAGGGGAATGGGCAGTGGTAAAAGGGAGTCTTCTGGATATGCTTGAAAGTGGGAAGGAGAATTGGAGCCATGAGAGCCAAGGCCATTACAGGCTGCACAAAAAGCACTATTTACCTCAGCCTAAAGGTGAAACATAGTCCCACTTTATTTCCAATTTTAAGACCAAGCAGAGAAAAGATATCTCTGGAGGGAAGGAAAGTAAACAAAAGCACAACCAGGCAAATCAGGCAATCCAGACGTACTTTCCCCAGTAAGCAAACCGGGAAGCTCAGAGCTCACGAAAGCAGAATGAAGAGCTTGGGGTGATAGAGGTAACACTCATGGGGAAGGAGGCGGGACAACAAGATAAATGTCTACAAGCTCACAGAGGATAGTGAGGACACTGAAGGAGACCTCCTTCCTCGTGCTGTCTCTGCCCCCAGCCCTAATGCAGAGGGGGAGAGAAGTCTATCTAGAACTTCAGCCAACTTATGAAATCCTATTAGACTCTTGAAGCATGTTGGGAAAGGTGGAGGCAGAGCCACTTTGGACATGGGAAGTCACAGTGCAGAATACAGTGAGGGCCATTTACTGGAGAAGGTTGACATAATTTGCAGGGAAGAGTCCAAAGTGGCCATGGCAACGTCCCCGCCACCAGCCCTCATCCACCATCTCAATGTCAGTGATGATGTCATCTGGATCAAAGGAAATCTCATCGCTTCCCTCTGGAGAGGAAATTGACTGGAATTAGGATGGTCAGACAGGAATCCCTCCATCCCTGTGCCCACTCTAAACCTCAGAAAGGGAAATAGGCCTGGTCTTCTTCATGCCAAGCCTGGACCCTTCCCTGACCCTCAGAATTTATCCCCTGCTTTTGTTTCAAGGGCCTTCAGACACCAGACCCCTCAAGCCACTCCCAACCTACCTCCTTGGTAATCATACAGGGCTACAGCTGAGATCCCAGCCCCAGCCGGACGGCCTGATGCTCCTGCATCGTGAAAAATATAAACATGGTCTCACCAAAAGAGAGAAGGAAAACAAACAGATTCTTATGGGTAATGGGACAATTCTTCTTACCACCCGCCCCTCCCTTCCCCCTGCAGACCTGACCAAATTAAGGAGCTGATTCTCTCTTGACCACTCACCAGCCAGAGAGGAGGGAAAAGAGGGATTCTCAGGCTCTAGCACATCCTCATAGTCCCCTTCTGGTTCATCATCTTTCTCATGTCTGTCCATCTCTCCAACATCCTCATAGTCATTCTCAGGCTCAGGCTCAGGCTCTGGCTCTGCTTCATACACTGGTTCTTCCACCACCTGGAGGCCTTCCAGAGTCCTGGGGGGCAAAGCTGGGGGCTCTTCATCATCCTGAGAAGAGAGAGTATGGAACAGGGTGACTTGAACTCACTAGGAGCTGCCTCTTCAAAACTTTCCAATGAAGGACTGCTGAGATCCCACCCATCACCACTTCTATGTTCCACCCATGCTTCCATCTAACACCCCTCTCTAGGATACACATTCTTTCATCCATTCTTCATTTTCCAACTTCCTCCCACATCTACCTACTCAAAACACATACCAAGAGATGATAGGAAGGGAATGTAAAAGGTATGAGAAAAGGGAAGTCAGATTCCTCAGAAGAGCAAGAAAATATTGAAGCAAAAGCACATTATTGGACATACCACAGCTAGGATAACCAACTCTCCTAGTTTTTCCAGGATGGAGTGGTTTCCCAGAAGGGAAGACTATCAGTATTAAGGTCAGGAGAGTCCCAGACAAATCAGGATGGTTGGTCATATTCTGTGGCCCACCTTCTTAAGACATGAAGAGATGGGGAAAGCAGAGAAAATCTTTGGGCCTCTACTTACCTCTGGGGGTCCCTGCCTTGAAGGCAGGGAGGACACTGGATGTTCCCTGCTGGTTTTCACCTGCTCAGGCTCTGAGAGTGAACAGCTTCCTGCAGGAGGCCAGACCTATGGAGAATGAAGCATCTCTCCAGTAAGCAAGCAAGCCTCCATCTTCTCTCTTATACTGACCTGCAACACCTCCTTCTACCTCTGCCAATCCAAATCAAACCCATCCCTCAAGATAGGTTCCAATTTGTAGAAATGGCTACTTCCTCTTAGTTCCTGTAGCAATGACTAGCTGCAATGGCTGGTGACCTGTCTTCTGCTATACACTGTAACACTTGTGTTTTTTCCTAACATTCTGGTACAAATGAGGCTCAATTACACAGACTGAAATCTTCCTGAACACAGGGAGAGCACTCATATAGAATTTGCTTAACACAAGGGAAGCCTGTGTCTTATTCTCTATTAATGATTTGGACCCTTTAGGCTCCCGTCTGGGCAAGGAATGTTGGATAGGGATCCCAGAGTACCAAGCACTCACCTCTGAGGAGATTTTCTTAGGCAATGGGGTTGGCACCACAGGCTTTTCCATAGTGGATGCTGGTTGCTGAGCCTCATGGCTTCTCTTTACCAGGGCCTTTCTCTCCTGTTGCTGCCTGGCCATCTGCTGTGCCTTCTCTTCTTCTTCCTGCCTCTTCTTCTCCTCAGCCATGGACTCAAATTTTGCCTTTAGGCCACGGGCACCACTAGAAGCTAAAGACACAGGCAAGAAGAGGGGAGAGGTCAAGTGTACCTCAACTACTCTAGGTAGATAAAGGCATGGAGGAAGTAGTCTGGCGAGAAAAAAAATGAGAAGGAAAAAGCAATTGAGGAGCAGAGAGAAAGGGAATTGTTAAGACTTACCAGCCTCTACGGGCGTTGTCTTCTTATAAGCTGTGGTTGGGGCCTCCATTTCATTGAAGCCAACAGCACTCTGCAGGAGAACAGTAGTTGTGTGTGAGGGAGGTGGTGGTAAGAAAGTGGCAGTGACTCAGAAAGCAGTATTAGGAATTGAGGCCACCATAGGTGGTATCTTAACCATTTGATCCTCAATAGTTGGACAGGGTATTCCAGTACTGTAGTTTTGTGGCAGAGAGAAGGAAAAAGGGAATTGTAAACTCCTGGGCCCAGATTCTCTTTTTGAAAGTACAATGTACCTGGAAACCCGCATCTCCAAATCCAGTTGCATGGAATGCAACAAGGCCCCTGAGTAATGAATGAAGAGGAACTGGTGTAGGGGAGGACAGTGACATGGAATGGGAAGAGACTACTGATTGGGATGAACAATGCCAAGCAGTCAATGAAATTTTAAACATCACATTTCCCTGGAGTTTATCTGTCTCTCTGTCTCTCTCTTCCTCCCTTCCCTCTCCTCAGTTAAATGAAGTTCATGAAGACATGCTTATTAGATGCTGAGGGCAGTAAATGGTGAGTGCAGGACACCAGGAGGACAGCTCAGGACACAGCTTTGTCCGTCTTTTTTTTTTTTTTCAGCTTTGCCTCGCACTCTTCTCCATGTACTTCTGTGTAGTTTGGGAAACTATTTTTAAGAAATTGGTATTCTGGTACTTCACCTTATCCACTTGGTCCTTCTGGATTCCATACTGACCACCAAAACCCTTGGCATAATCTGCAGGACAGAAAGTTCTGAGAGTCATACAGGAGTTAAAATTCTGGAAATTGGTGGGAAGAGGGAGCAGTGGGAAGAATGACTAGAAGACAGGAATGTGGAAAACAGAGAAATGGATGAGGAAGTGTAAGAATCAGAGGACAGAGAGAGGCTTAGGTGGGAAGATTGGCAAAAGGATTGGGAGAAAAAAACTTGGAAGAGAATGGAGGGGAGAGAGATGGGAATTGGACAACACAGAAAGAAAAAAGTGACAGAAAGGGGAAAATGTAAAGGAAGAAACAGGAAAAAAATATAAGGACAACCCTCCAGCTATCCCCAATGGGTCCCAGAAAGGAAGGAGGCCTCTCTATCCTCTATGAGGCAAAGGGGCCTTTAAGAACCATAGCCAGATCTGCTCTTCTTATCACCAGCCTGTCTGTCTTTACCCTTTTCTCAGTGGCCCCTTCTCTTTAGCCTCCCTTTTCTGTCCTGCTCCTAATCTTATTGTTTTCCTCTCCACCTCTTTTGGTTTGCCCCCACTGATTCCTGCACACATACACTCACTATTTGTTACCTCACCTCCTACACTGCACATCTGTCCCTCAGTATTCTGAGTCTTCTGTGTCAGCTTTCAGAAAGGAAAGATGAAGACTCCATGATATCTATGACCTCCCTCCTCTCTAGCCCCAACTTACCTCTCTGGGATTCGTGTTTCTCTGTTTCTCCTTTGTAGTCATATCCCAGAGCTGCCTTGTCCCATTTATCCTTCTCTACCCCGTAACGGCCACCAAAACCATGAGAGTAATCTATGGTGGAAGGAACAGTCATGAGAGCCCACTCTCAGCCCACAGGGAAGAGCCACTGAAGAGAGAAGTCAAGAGGAACTGGTGTTCTATTTTCCTCTTCTCTCTCTTACTTCCATGCCAACAGGAGGAGATTGTTTCATTTTTTTCCCCTTCTTCTAGGAAAGGGAAAGTATAAAGAGTATAAGGAGAGACTTCCGGGGGGCGGGGGAAGGCATATCTACATGACATATATGCCTCTCCCTATTTCCATACAAACACTTAGAAATGTCAGCTAAAATATAACAGTCTTTTTTGCTGTTATTGTAAATAGTGAAAGCATAAAAGAAAAAAAAGGAAAAAAATTCTAGCTCCAAAAACAAATTGATAAATCAAAGCAGTAGATATGAGGGTAATTATGAGCTGATGTCAGAGAAAATCCAAGGGTGTTTTAAGTGCCAAATTTAGTGCCTACAGTTAAAATCAAGGAACTGCGGTTCTAATTTCTATGAAAGAATAGGGGGCTGGAGAGAAGAAAATTAGTCTCTGTCCACTCCTTTAAACATTGTACAGGAAGTCCTTGCTAATGCAATAAGGCAAGGAAAAAAAAATAAAAGGTATATAGACTGGAAAGGAAGACATCAAACTGTCTTTGTTCACAGATGACATGATCTGTGTAGAAAATCCAAAAGAAGCGATAAGCATACTCCTGAAACTAATAAATGATTATAGCAATGTTGCAGAATGTAAGGTTAATATACAAAAGTCAGTTGCTTTCCTATGTACCAACAATGAACAAGTGGAATTTGCAATTCAAATAAATAAAATACCATTTACATTAGAACCCTCAACAAAGATATATTTATGTATAAATCTAAAAAATGTACAGGATCTATATAAAGAAAATCCTGATGAATAAACCAAAGAAAGACTAAGTAAATGTAGATAGAGTCTATATTCATGGAAAGGGAGGCTCAATATTGTCGTGATGTCAGTTCTTCCCAGATTGATCCATAGGTGCAATGCAATTCCAATCAAAATCCTAGCAATTTATTTTTTTGGATATTAATATCTGACTCTAAAGTTTCTGTAGAGAGTTAAAAGACCCAATTGCCAACACAATACTGAATGTGTAGCCAACATAAAGTTGGAAGACTAATGCTACCTGACTTTAAAGACTTACTATAAAGTTACAGTGATCAAGACAGTGTGGTGAAAGAATAGAAAAATAGATCAATGAAACAGAATAGAGAGCCCAGAAATAGACCCCCCATAAATATAGTCAAGAACTAATCTTTGACAAAGAAGCAAAGGCAATACAGTGGAGAGAAGATAGTCTTTTTAACAAGTGGTGTTGGAGCAACTAGACATCCACATGAAAAAAGAATCTAGATACAAGCATTACACTTTTATAAAAATTACTCAAAATAGATCATAGACCTAAATGTAAAATGAAACAATATAAAACTCCTGGAAGAATGTGAGAGAAAACCTAGATGACCTTAGGTGTGGTGACCTTTTTAGATATAACATCAAAGACATAATCCATGAAAGAAATAACTGATAATCCTGGACATCATTAAGATTAAAAAAGTTCTGCCTGTGAAAAAATATACAAATGTCAAGGAAATGAGAAGACAAGACATAGAGAAATATTTGGAAAAGATACTTGTGATTTAAAAAAAAAAAACCTGTTAACCAAAATATACAAAGAACTCTTAAAACTCCACAATACACCAATCAGAATGAATATATGCCTCTCTATGTTCATAGCAGTGCTGTTTACAGTAGCCAAGGTCTGGAAACAGCCCACGTGCCCATCAGTAGATGAGTGGATTAAAAAAAGCTGTGGCACATTTACATAATGGAATACTATGCAGTCATAAAAAGAAGGAAAATTTATCATTTGTGACAGCAGGATAGACCTGGAGGGTATTATGCAAAGTAAAATAAGCCAATCAGAGAAAGAAAAATACCATATGATCTCACTTATATGTGAAATCTAATGAACAAAATAAACTGATAAACAAAATAGAACCAGAGGCATGGATATATGGAACAGACTGACAGATATGAAAGGGCAGGTGGCAGGGGTGGACTAGATGAAAGAAGGTGAAGAGATTAGCCAAAGGACATATAGGCAAGCCCAATGGACTCAGACAATAATGTGGTAAGAGCCAGGGGTGGAGGGGGAAGGGTCTGCATGGAGGTGGGAAAAGGAGGAGGGAAATGATGGACATCTGTAATAGTGTCAACAATAAAAAAAGAACTCAACAATTCTTAAAAAAAAATTTAAAATTAGGCCAGTCAGAGAAAGACAAATACCATATGATTTCACTCATATGTGGAATCTAAAGAACAAAATGAACTAACAAGCAAATTAGAGACAGAATCACAGTTGGAGAGCAGGCTGACAGCTGTTGGGGGGCAGGAGGTGGGGTTGGGGGACTGGGTAGGAATGGTGGAATGACTAAGCAAAAAAGAGGAAAAACTCATGGACAGGGACAACAGTGTAGTGATTGCTGGGAGGAGGGGGAAGTGGAGGAGGGTATAGTGGGGATAAATGGTGATGGACGGAGACTTGACTTAGGGTGGTGACCACACAATACAGTATACAGGTTATGTCTTCTGGAACTGTGTACCTGAAATCTATATAATTTTGTTAATCAGTATCACCCCAATAAATTCCACAAAAAGGAAAAAAAGGGCCAAAGATCTTAACAAACATCTTACCCAAGGAGCTACTCAGATGACAAATAAGCATATAAGATGCTTATCATACATCATACATCACCAGGGAAATGCAAATGAAACCAAGATATGATGTATACACCTATTTCAATGGCCCAAATCCAGAACACTCAGAATACCAAATGCTGGTGAGGATGTGAAACAGCAGGAACTCTTACACATTGCTGGTGGGAGTGCAAAATGGTAGACACTTTGAAAGACAGTTTGGCAGTTTGTTACAACACTAAACAGACTCACCATCAACATAACAAAAAGACAACCTACTCAATGAGGGAAGTTTTTCACCAATGATACATCCAATAAGGGGTTACTATCCAAAATTTATAAAGAACTCATACAACTCAACACCAAAACAAACAATACAATGAAAAAACGGACAGAGGAACTGAATAAAATATACAAATGGCCAACAGACATATGAAAAGATACTCAATGTCACTAATTATTAGAGAAATGCAAATTAATACCACAAGGAGATATCACCTCACACCTGTCAAAATGGATATCATCAATAAATCAACAAGTGCTGGTGAGGATGTGGAGAAAAGGGAGCCCTAGTACACATTTAGTAGGAAGGCAGACTGGTGCAACCACTATGCAAAACAATATGGATATTCCTCAAAAAATTGAAGATGGAACTACCTTATTACCCAGTAATTCCACTTCTGGGTATATATCTGAAGAAAACCAAAACACTAACTCTAAAAAATATATGTACCCTTATGTTCATTGCAGTATTATTTACAATAGCCAAGATATGAAAGCAGCCCAAGTGCCTATCAACAGGCAAGTGGATAAAAAGGTGGTAATATTTCATTGTATACTCTCATATACAATGAAATAAATATTTCATTGTATACTCTCATATACAATGAAATATTACTCAGCCATAAAAATGCATGAACTCTTACATTTGTGACAGCATGGTAAGAACAGAGAAAGAGAAGTACTATACGATATCACTTATATTTGGATCTAAAGAGTAAAATAAAGGAACAAACAGAATAGAAACAGACTCAGAAAAAGAGATCAGACTGATGGTTGTCAGAGGGGTGGGGGATTTCGGGACTGAGTGAAGGGATTAAGAAGTACAATTAACAATCACAAAATAGTCATGGGAATGTAAAGTACAGCATAGGGAATATAGTCAATAGTATCATAACTAGGTACAGTGCCAGGTAGTTACTTGCAATGTCAGTATATAATTGTTGAATCACTATGCTGTACACCTGAAACTAATACAAAGCAATATTGAATGTAAACTGTAACTGAAAAAAATTTGAATAAATGGTAATGGAAAAATTCAATTAAGAAAAGAAAAAATTAATAAAAAATAAAAGAGTAAACCTAGGGACTTTTGGTAATTATGACATAACAATGTAGATTCATCCTTGGTAAAACAATGTACCATTCTGGTGAGTGAAGCTGATAATGGGGAAGACAATTATATGTGGGGGTGGGAGTGTACAGTAAATCTCTGTACCTTCCTCTCAACTTGGCTATAAACCTAAAAATTCTCTTTTAAAATTTTCTTTAGAAAAAGAGAATAGAAATTTCTAATAGACATCTGAGTTCCAGAAGAAAGAATAAAAGAGAGGAAAGGTATTATCAAAAAAAAAAATGCCTGAGAACTTCCCATAATGAGTCATTTTGCAGGTTGAAGAGAACTAATAAGTCTCATGTAGAAGAATAAATATAGATCCAACACCTAGACATAAGCTGATATTTCAGAATGTCAGATAAAAAGAGAAAACTTCATTAAAAAAAAAAAACAGCCCCTAGCTGGTGTGGCTCAGTGGATTGAGGGCCAGCCTGCAAACCAAAGGGTTGTCAGTTCAATTCCCAGTGTAAAGCACATGCCTGGGTTGCAGGCCAGACCCACAGCAGCGGACGCACAAAATACAGCTGCACATTGATGTTTCTCTCCCTCTCTTTCTCCTTCTTTTCTCCTCTCTAAAGTAAATAAATAAAATCTTTTTTAAAAACACACACACAGAGAAACAACACATTACCTACAAAACAATGATGGCACAAGAGAGATGCCAAAGGTAATGAAATAATATCTTCTAAGTGATGAATGTAAAATAACAATGAAGAGCAGAAGAAAATAAAGACATTTTTTAGTCAAAGCCTGGGAGTTCTTTCATAGACTCACTAAAAGAATTGTTAAAGGGTATACTTTAGCAAGAAGAAAATAGAAGGAGCAAGGAGGAAACAATGAAACACAGCAAACAATGACGAGCTAGGAGTTGGTTAATATGTTGGCAATTTAAATAAGTATTTACTAGGTAACAGGGTGGAGGAGTGAGTGGAAGTCACATTGACCTCCTCCCAGGACCAATATGGAGTCCGCAAAATTGTGGAGAAATCACCCGGAACAAACACCTGAACAATAGCGAGAGAAGAGCCTTATAACCTCAGACAGACAGAAGAATCAGCTTTAGCACAACCTCACTGGTAAGGAGTACAATAAAGACTCCAGAAGGCGGGTGGGGTGCCCATAGGTGGCAGCACCAGAAGGATATTGAAACGGACAGTTGGGTTGCTCTGAGATGAGTGGGGTCTAAACCATAAGTGGGGATCTCCAGCCTACAACACCAGTGCCCAAAAAGTACACAGATAGCAGCCAGCTGCAAAAAGCAGCAGGGTTGCTCTTTGCCAGAGACAGGCGGCTGGAGAAGCAAAGAGCCATTTAAATGTCCAACACATAAATTTTTATTTACAACCACTTACCCTTGTCTCCAGCAAAGGCAGGGGCAGAGTGGGCTAGAGATGCCTGAGGAGACACTGGGGAAGGAGGCCTTGGGGAGACAATGGAGAGAGTAGCCAGTGGGACCCCCGTGCTGACTCATCCCCCATACAGCAGCAGTCATCTGGCTCAGACAGACCACTCCCCTGAGCAGCAGCAGCATGAGAGGACCCAATAACCCTGCCCCCAGGAGGGACTCCACCCCACCCTGTGGTGTCTAAGCCGGCCTGCTGAGTGCAGAGTGATTAGATTACAGCTGACGGAGACAGCCACAGAAAGTAGATTCCTGGACGTCTCCAACACATTGCCTAAGTTCAGATGCAGTCAATATCTAACATTATCAGAGGCAGATCCAGAAAGAAAAAAACAGCAGTATGCTACCATAGAAGTTCACACCACAAAGTCAGAAGATCAAGACAGATCAATTTAAGAAGCAGAAACAAAAATGAAGAGTCTCACAAATAATGGGAAGACAAAGAAATACGCCCCACTCAAAGGGAAAGTAGGAATCCCCACAAAGACAACTAAATGAAATAGAGGCAGCAAGTAAACTATCAGATCCTGAGTTCAAATCAATGGTTCTAAGGAAGCTCATTGAGCTAAATGAGCTCAGAGAGAATTACAAAAAAGCTACAGGGAAACTAGAAGGAACTTATTGCAAACTATATCTGCATGAAAAAGGACATAGAAACTACCCATAAGAAACAAGAGGAAGTGAAGAATACAGTTTCTGAATTGAAGAACACAGTAGAAGGAATCAAGCAGGCTAGATGAAGCAGAGGAACAAATCAGCAAGCTGGAGGATAAGGCAGAAAAAAGCTCCCAGAAAGAGCAAGAAAGTGAAAAAAGACTAAAAAAGAATGAAGAGGCATTTAGGGGAATGCAGGATAACCTGAAACATCGTAATATCTGAATAAAAGAGGTGCTAGAAGGAAAAGAAAAGGAGCAAGGGATAGAGAACCTGTTTGAAAAAGTAATGATGGAAAACTTTCCTAATTGGAGGAGAGAAAAAGTCACACAAGTCCAGGAAGCACAGAGGGCGCCATCCAAGAGGAATCCAGTGAGGCCCACACTCCAAGACATATCATCATTAAAATGGCAAATATCAAAGACAAAGAGAGAATCCTAAAGGCAGCAAGGGAAAAACAGGCAGTAACATATAAGGAAGCATTGATACGGCTAACAGCTGACTTCTCAACAGAAACACTACAAGGCAGAAGGAAATGGCAAGAAATATTCCAAGTCATGAAAAGCAAAGGCCTGCAACCAAGACTGCTCTACCCAGCAAAGCTCTCATTTAAAATAGAAGACAAAATAAGGAGTTTCCCAGACAAGAGAAGGCTAAAAGAAACACCTCCACCAAACCAGCACTGTAAGATATGCTAAAGGGACTGCTTTAAGAAGATGAAAAAAAAGTCTATGAATACCCAGTTCTTTTCACAGTCACCAATACTTGATATTACCAATATTTTTAATACTTATTAATCTGATTGTGACAATGATGTGTCATTTTAATTGTTACTTTATTATTTGTTGAAATTAAATGTGTTTTTTTTTATTTCTTGCCTATTTCTATTATTTTTTTAAAAAGCTTTAAATGACTTTTTGGTATTCTTTATCCATTTTTTTGATTAAATGTTTGTAGAATTTTCCCCATCCCCCAAAAAACTATTAACCCTTTTTTAGTTGTGTTGCAAATACTTTCCTATTCTATTACTTGTCCTTTAACTTTTTTTATGTGTACATTACTGTATAGTTTTAAATGTTTAATATAGCGATATTGTTAATATTTTACTTTATAGCTGCTAAGTTTGAGTATTTTACTTTAGGGTAAGAAAAATATTGTATTTCTCCTAAAACACCTTAGATTTTTAACTCATCTGAACATTTTTTGTATAATATGTGTAATAAGGCTCTACATTTGTTTTATTTCAAGTAATAATGGTCCATGCACCTTATTTGTTGAATAAGCCTTCTTTTCCCCATTGATTTGAAATATCAGTTTAATCATATATTACATTGTTAGACAGATATATACATTTGTTTCTAGAATGCTCATTTTATTTCATTGATCTACTTGATTATTTCTGTGCTGGTGTATGTTGTTTTAATTTCTGAGACTTTATAATGGACTTAAATTTTTTTAATATTTTATAATGGATTTTGAAATTTTAAATAAATAAATAAATAAATAAAAATCTGTATTTAAAAAACTAAAAGAAGAAAGAAAGAAGGAACTCCTACCTTTTGCAACAACATGGATGGAACTGGAGAATATTAGGCTAAGTGAAATAATTCAGTTGGTAAAGACAAATACTATATGACCTCATCTAAAAGTGGAATCTATTCAAGAAAACACACTAACAAACAAAATAAACTACAGGCATGGAAACATACTTTAAGTGACCAGAGGGGATGGGGAAGGAGGACAATGGTGGGAAAAAGACGAAGAGGCTAAACAAAAACAAACAAACAAACAAAGTATTTACTAGGTAATAATCATGATTAAATTGTGTGGCATTTATAATCACATAGAACCAATATACCACATAATAATAATTGTCCAGTTGGTACAAAGAATGTAGAATATAAAGAGAATATAATTAAATTATTCTATATTTCCTATATTACTGAGGAAGAGCTAATGATTAATTTAAAATTTGATTCAAAGATGTTTGTTAAAACTTAAGGATAACCTCCTAAAATAGATTAGAATACCTTATTTTCAATCCATTAGAGGAAAAAAAGGACTAAAGAAAATTTGATCAATCTCACAGAAAGTGATAAAGGAGAAAGGAAAAAGCAAGTACATGCTTGGATTTAAAAATAAATGAGCCACGGCTGGTGTGGCTCAGATACTTGGAGCGTAATCCCATAGACTGAAAGGTCAAGGGTTTGATTTCCGGTAAGGGCACATACTCAGGTTGCAGGCTCAATGCCCTGTTGGGGCGTGTTTGAGAGAGGCAACCAATCGATGTTTCTCTCTCACATTGATGTTTCTCTCATCTCCCTTCCCGTCTCTTTAAAAGCAATGAAAAATAATGTCCTCAGTTGAGGATTAAAAAAAAAAATGAAATAGTGACGAACTGGGTCATAACTAAAAGGGATTTGTGACAGCTGTTGCTAGTTCAAGTCTGAGCAGAAGAGCAGGGGCAGTCAGGCTGCTAAAACTGAAATGCAGGGTCCTTGCCTTTCTGAGATGTGTGTTTCTCCATTTCTCCTTTGTAATCAAAGCCAACTGCCGACTACAAAAAAAAGGAGAGAGAATTGTTTAGGGTCAAAGCTGACGATTCCCCCCCACCCCCGACTTGTCCTTCCTCCCAGCTCAGCCTAGAGGTTCATTCATAGGGGCCCAGGCCTGTGTATGGGGGTTAATGTAGGAACAGATAGTACCCTGACTGGCTGGTTTCGAGGCAGTGTGCTACAAATCAATGATCAAGGATTCCGGATACTGACAGTTCTAGAGTCTAACCCCACCTCCCCTACTTAGAGTTGTTTAACTTCAGGCATGTCCTTTAATATTTGAGCCTCGGTTTTTAAATATAAAATGAAAACTAATGAGATAGGTTTACCTCTCTCATTAATACCAACTGTAAAATGGAAGAAATGATCCCTCTTCATTTGTGATATTGTGAGAACTAAAAGGGGCAAGGTGTATAAAAGTGTTTTCATTGGGTTTCTCAGTAAACTGGTGCTTTCCCTTCTAACTCTCATGAAACTAAAATGAAAGAATAATGTCTTGTAAACTAGAAAGGTACAATGAATATGTAAGAGATAGTATCCTATTATTAATTAACTATACTGTGCCTCTTTTCTTTCCATAAACACAGATGTGGATTTTGATAGAACGAGAAGCAACTGGGAGAGCCTGGATCCTAGCGGCTCCCAGGACTGGATATAAGTATTGGCCAATATCTAACATCACCACATAGCAACCTCTCCAACTTGCTCAGTAACTATGGGCCTCTATTTCAGTCTAGATTTTGCATCTTAAGAGCTATTAGTATGTATTGTCACTTGGTTTACAAGACACACTGGTTGTTTAGATGATTCAGTGTGTGGCTGTGAGACAGAAGATCAAAGAAGGAACAATGAAACATTAGGCAAAGGCAGGAGGGGGCCAAGATGGAAGAAAAATTCCAACCTGATTAGAGATAACTATACTCAGCAAGCTCCATATTCCATTCCTGCCTTTAAAAATTACCCTCTGCATATTTCCATTTCTTACTGTATGTGTTTAACTTTTCTAGTGTTTTTTTCCACCTACAATGAAATAACATCTAACACTTAGCTTTAAGGATTCAGGCCCACCTAATAAACAACTGAAGGTTAAAAAAGAATCTCAGCTAGCTATGAAGGAGCTGTCCCCTCTCTGTGCAGCTGCAGGGGAAGACACACTGTTCTGCACCTAAAAAGAGAGATCAAAGAGTTGGATCTACCAAGGAGTGAACCTGAGAACATCAATGAGTTCTCAATTGCACTCTCGTGACCACTCTGTCATCTGTAATCACTACTGTCCTTTCTTCCCTTTCCTTAAAGCTACTTTTTTTTTTTTAGTACACAAGAATCTTTCTTTAAACACTTGAACTTCAGGGATTTGGTGCTAAGTAATGTGAAAAGTAACCTTTACCTTCTAAAAGCATTGTAACCCTAATTAGTTGTTTTACTTGATTATTTGCTACCATGGTAATAATGTTTAAGCTGACATCTCTTTTTCTGAAAGGCATAAATATTTATAAGGTTTTGACATTTGTGGAGCTTTGGAATTTCCCTTTTTTCTCTTCGTGTGTACAGGCATAACAAAATCAGTGGCTTGAGGGATTCCTTATTCAAGCAGAGTTTGAGAGTCCTTGTTTCATTTAAACTAATACCTTTCAGCTCAGCATGTGACCTCTAACAGTGGCACCAAGGAACTTGCTGTGGTAGGTCACAGAATCTATCCTCATGACGAACCCTCCTTGAGTCTACTGCCCTGTTTTTCACAGGATAAGCACAGACCCACATTCTGGGGTGAGCGCTGGTAAGTCCCACATGATCTGAGTTGGGTGGTGTGGGGAAGAAAGTTGTCACTTACCTTATCTGCTCTGTCCTTCTCAACTCCATATTTGCCCCCAAAACCTCTGGCAGCATCAGTCTGAGAAGAGTGCTTTTCTACCTCAGCAACATATTCATGGCCCACAGCACTCTAAGAAGAATCAAGGACAGAATGAGTGACAAGATAAAAATAACCATAAAGGAATAAAATGATACAGGGATGGGATGGCATGTAAGAATACAAGAAATTCCCTCCTGGTTCAGACTCATAGCCTCTGACCACAGTGCCAGGTAGCACATGATGGGAGAGCAAGGTGACTTCTGGAGCCTCACATGTCCTGATTCTTCCTTAATACCATAGAGAATTCATCATTCAGGAAACTCCCAAAATGGGCTGGGAACCAGAAGGACAGAGACTAGGGAGATGGAGCTGTGGTTAAACTAGAAACAAAAGAGATCTAAAACAAGGGTGCTGTGCATCAAAATAGAAATAAGGGTAAATACTGGGGAGAAACCAAAGAGGACTGACTGGATGCCTTAGTCAGGATGGAATATTCACATAAACAGCCAGGCACCTTTGTTCTGAATCTCTTCTCCTACATGACCATCAAAGTTCAGAAATGCCACCTGAGCCCTAGTATTTAGCAATGATTGACTCTTTACACAAAAGGACGTTGGTAGACAATACTGTGAGTAGTCCAAGACAGCATGGAACTTAAATCTTTTCTATTCCCCTCCACTCTTTACTCTATCTACTGATTTATTTTCTTTTTGGTTTTAAAAAGTTATGTCTCTTCTAATATTTAGATATGGATGCTTTAATAATTTGGGAACTGAGTAATACCTCAAACCAAATAATGATGTCTTGCAGAGTCTCAGCTAAGAAGAAATTAGAAATTTCTTCTGCTTCCTCCTATATTTCCAGTCCCATGTAGGGATAAGCAACATCAGTACAGAGGCTGGCTGAAGCACGACCCTATATAAGCTCCTGAGAACTGGTTTTGCAATATTTTGGGGTATGTGTAAGTTAATTTTGCTTGTTGAATTAGGGGTAACTGAATACTTTCTTCCTAGGAATTTCATGGGAGAATGAAATGCCTACACTGTACTTTACACAGTGACAAAACAAAATACCTCTTAAGGGTGAACTAAAAGCTTTCATTGGCTTTTTTTTCTCCTTGAAAGTAAACCTTTTTTCTTTAGGAATATATCTATCTTTGAGGTTAGGAAGGTCAATGGAAAATATAATTCAATATACAAGTATCCTTTTATCATACTTTTACAGCATCTAATGGATAAAATAAAAACTATTCATATTTGAGGGCTTCTTGTAGATAAATTCACACCAATATTTTTCACACCTATATACACACTAAATAATGTATAATATATACCTAAAAACACTAAATATATAGTAGGAAAATAAAAGAAGTTGCAACATAGACATAATATACAAACATTTAAAAGCAGAAAATGATTTCAAAATATATTTTTCCCTTCTCTACTGTGCTTGTTGTGTCCTCAGTCTAGGAGTTATAGTGTGGCTGGGCTTACTATAGTCAGCCCTTCTCAGTTCTTGGCTTCCATTTTCCACTATATTTTATGAATGGGCACAGGAGAAAAATAATACAAATAATATGTGGACATTCTATTTTAAAGCCCAAATAAATACTGTATTTTCAAACAAGTTTTAAATCGTAAAGGCAACAAATGAATGAGTCTTTCTTTTTTATCAAGCAAATATTTTCCTTTCAACTCACCTTGTCCATTCGGTCTCTTTCCACACCAAACCGACCACCATAGCCATGAGATGCTTTGGGCCCTGATTCCAACTCCTTCTTCTTCAGCATATCATGTTCCTCTGACACTTTGTTCCTAAGCTGGTGGATGCTGGAAGTAACCACATGATAGAGGCTCTTCTAGCACAGGGAAGTCAACAGACCCTCCTTCCCAGAAAAATGGAAATCTTAAGGTGTGTTTTGTTTATTTTTAGCAAGAACCTGAGCCCCTAAACTGTGTCTGAGCTGGGTCTGGGAGTAAGAGATTAATGTGGCCTACATACCATAGCCTGATTCTTTCCATAAGCCAATAGTATTTTCTCTAGCTGCTATTTTGCTCACCAAAGTACCTGCTGATACTTAGTTCCATTTATCATGTTCATTAGAGGACAATGGTACCCATATCCCAGTACCTGGGGAATTATTTTCCTTTCTCAATGAATTTGCTTCCTAGCAATTAGGTACTCTATCTCAAGAAGCACAAAAACATTCATATATCCTTCTATCCATACAATGTAGACTTCAGAGTCTAGCTTAATAAAGTAATTTTAAATATGGAAAAACTTAATGTCTAATGATATTCACTGAACCATTGTACATAGTAATAACAAGGACCAAGAAACAACTTATATGGCCAATAACTGAAGAAGAGTTAAGTAAATTGCAATATTATCTCTCAATAGCATACTAGGAAGTCACTTAAAATGATAGTTATGAAAAATGTAGGACTGGGACATTTATCTACATATTAAGTATTTTCTGTATTTTGTCAAAAATAAATGCCCATCACCCGCATCCACAAATCTGAAGAGAACTGAAAACTAATAAAAGCTAATTAATAAAATTCACTGTTATCACTAATTGTTGAAACACTTTGAGGCTCCATTAACCTTGATTTGGGACACCACTGTCACTGAGAGAATGTAACACCAAAAAGAGGCATTCTTCTTACTTCACTTCCATCTTTACCATGAGCCTAGAGAGTACCTGTACATGTCTTTTTGGTGTGAAGACATGAAGTGATAGCTCAGTACCAGCACCAGCATCAATAAGTGACCATCAGGACTGGCATTTGGACATACATAAAGGCCCCTGAGGATTCTTGGAAACATTTGGGCAAGAGAACCCTAAATAAAATAATTGACTTCCTACAGCAAGAAATGAATGTTTAGGGAATTGAGATAGTGATGTAACTGGAATTTCACTAAACCAGAAACATTGGTAATAGGTAGAATGGCCATTTCACAGCAGAAATTCTCATCTTTCATGGAAGAATAGATCCATCTGGTGGCCTTGTAGTGTAAGCCATCAAAGGCCTTTTGTAAAAGCCTTCTCAGCTTTAGTCACAGTTAATTTTAGAAATCTGGCTTTGAACCAGATGAAATTAAACTAAGTGCTGGAAGAACCCTCTGTTCCCATGCCTGCTCTAAACCCTCTGGCAGCAATGAAGGCAGAGATCCTGTGTCGCTAGTTCAACAACACTAACACTTTAGAACTGCCTGTGTCAAGGCAGATACTGGTTCCAAGAACATGTTAATGACTGATATTTCCCAACCAACATACTCAGATGAAGAATGAAGGAAATGGGGCTAAGCACTACTTTTAAATGTGAAAAGTCTGCAAAGTTTTAATGAGTCCAATGATTGTTACATGGGTCATAACTATGCTGTAGGTGAAAACAAGTTTTTAAAAGGGATTAGAAAATGAGATTCAGAAATATAACCTAAGGTATAACAGCAAGGTTAGTTAGAAGATCGTGCCAGTAGATAACATAATTTGAATGAAAATGTTGGGGCCAAAGAAGACCAACTTCTATCAAATTCTTTAGAATATAGTTGAAGCCACTGTAAGTAGGTCTTAGTTATATCAGTCCTTCATTTAGTAAATATTAATTAAATATTAATTAAACTTTTGAGTGTTAGGCCCTGAGGACACAAAGGTGATTTGTATATGGAGATAGTGGTCAGGTGGAAGAGGAAGAAAAGACAACAAAAAATTACAATTCAATGTGCTTAATGGTATACCTAAGAAACTTTTGGCACATTAACTCTCAGATGCCTATTTTAAGTTTAAAAATACCTCAGAACTGTTAAAGCAATACCATTTATGGGAACCAAGTGAAATTCAGGGCCTCAAAAAGGAGCTAAGAAAAGGAACAGATCTTGTTTTTGTTACAAAAATAAAAGCACAAAGGTAATTCAGACTATAGAATTTTATTCCAAACAAAATCCTACAAAGAATTTACCACGCCCCCCAAAAAAGTGCTACTAGAGCCAGTAAGTACATTTGGCAAGGTCTCAGGATGCAAGGTCCCTATCAAAATCAATGTTATTTTGACATATTAGCCATATATACTGGAAATTGTAAGTTAAAAATAAATGTGACTTACCATCACATGAAATCACATAAAATATTTTAGCATAAATTTAACAAAATATATGCAAGACCTGAACACATAAAAGCATTCCTGAAAAAAATTAGTCTTAAATAAATGGAGAGATATCCCACATTCATGTATTGGAAAAATCAAGATCATTAAGATGTCAGTTATTTACAAAATAATCCACAGATTCAGTGCAATCTCAACCAAAATACCAATAGATGTATTCGTAGGAATTGACAAACTTATTCTAAAATATATGTGGAAATGGAAAATCCTAGAATAGTAAATGTTTTAATTGGAGGAGTATTTGATTTTATCACTTGTTATAAAGCTACAATATACTTTGTGTGATTAGCGCAGTATAGTATTGGGCAGGGATTGTACCATACCATAGATGAATAAAATCATCTAGAAATAGACCCCCATGTATATGGCCAAAGATGCCAGGTAAGTCATTGAGGAAAGAATGGTCTTTTAATGGTGTTGGAATAATGAACTATCCATATGGAAAAAAACCAACCTCAATCTTTGTCTCATACGGTACACAAAAACTTATTTGATCACAGGCTTAAATGTAAAAGCTAAAATTATAAATATTTTAGGGCAAAACATAGAAGAAAATTTTCATAATTTTGAAATAGGCATAAATTTCTTAGACGTATAAAGCATTAACCATAAAATTGTTTATAAACTAGACTTCTTCAGAATTAATATCTTTAAAAGAGCCATTAATAAAATAAAAAGGTGAGTAACACTCTGGATTAAATATTTGTACAACATATTTCACAAAAGATTTGTATCTAAAATATATAAAGAACTCTTAAAACAATAAAAATACAAACAAGCCACTATAAAAGTGGGAAAAAAGATTTGAACAGACACCAAAATGAACATACAAAGGTACATGAATGGCATTTGAAAAGAGGCTCAGTAAAACTACTCACCAGAAAACACAAATTAAAATCAGCACATATCCACAATAGTGGCAAATAAAAATTCTAACAAGCTAAGTGTAGACAAGGATGTGGAGCTATTAAAAACCAAACATTAGTGGCCCTGACTGGTGTGGCTCAGTGGATTGAGCACCAGCTTATGAACCAGAGGGTCACTGGTTTGATTCCCGGTCAGGGCGCATGCTTGGGTTGCAGGCCAGGTCCCCAGTAGGGGGGTGTATGAGAAGAAACCACACATTGATGTTTCTCTCCCTCTTTCTCCCTCCTTTCCCCTCTCTCTAAAATAAATAAATAAAATATTTTAAAAAAACATTATTGGAAGGAATGAAAAATGGTATTAATGAATTCCTATCAGAAAATAATTTGTTAGGACAGACTTCTGGTCAAGATGGTGGCATAAGTAAACATGGCTCGCATCGTCACAAACCACATCAAAATTACAACTAAATTATAGAGCAACCATCATTCAGAACCATCAGAAATCTAGTTGAATAGAAGTCTGACAACTATGGAATTAGAGAAACTACATCCATCCAGACTGGTAGGAAGGGTGGAGATGTAGAACAGGCTGGTCCCACATCTACATGTGGTGGATAAAAATTTGGGAGGAATAACTCAGGAGTGAGGAGTCCCAGCCCCATACCAGGAGCCCCAGCCCACGGTTCCAGTGCCAGGAAGATTAGTCCCCATAACTTCTGGCTGCAAAAACCAGGGGGATTGAGTTGGTGGCAGAAACTTCTGGAGTCCCAACACTACCTCTTAAAGAACACACTCATGAACTTACTCAGACTCACCCTCTCTGAGCTCCAGCACCAGGGTAGCAGCTTGAAAGGCACCAGTGGCATACAGGGAGGAACTGAAGTGGCTGGCATCAAGGTGAGAGCTGGGGAACAGCTTTCTCCCAGACAGAAAGGCCGGCAGAAGCCATTGTCCCTTTTCTGAACCTTCCTCCCAACAGAGCCACAGGTGCCATATCTGACACTACATCAACCTAGCTAACACTGTTTTCCCCACCCTAGAGGTCCCCTGAGACTCTGTCCCACCAACTTATAGGCCCACCCAAGCTGTTAACAGAGACTTTTCCATATAGTCTTGACTCATGCTTTACAACTTCCTAAATCCTCTCAAACAAGCAACAGCTGGCCTCAGTGAGCCCCAAGCCCGGCCTAACAGCAACCAGCCTGGATTCATAGCTTGGCTTCATCTGGGAATCTGCAGACCCAGTACAAATAGCAACCATCTCAGAAGGCTTGATGGTTCCGGCAGGATGGACCCAGGCAAAACACGGGTCAGGGCTGACCTTGGCCTGCAACACCCAGGAAATTCCAGAGCCAGCACACCCAGCGGACAGCTAAAAACCATGTTGGAGCACAACCTCCCTGCCCCTGCACTGCTGATCTTTCATAAAGGGTGGAGGTTGGTGGTCTGTGGTCACAGCCAGTCCTTACAACTGACTGGCCTGAGTAAATGCCTCCCATTGACCTGCCAGTAGCAACCAAGGCTCAACTACAAGAAGAGGGCGTACTCAGCCCACACAAAAGGTGCACCTGGAGTATCCAGCATTGGGGGGATGCTGTGCCAATGGACCCTACAGGACATCTACTACATTAGACCATGCTATCAAGACAGCAGCTCTACCTAATACATAGAAACAAACACAGGGAGGCTGCCAAAATTAGGAGACAAAGAAACATGGCCCAAATGAAAAGGTAGATAAAAACTCCAGAAAAATAGCCAAACGAAATGGAGATAAGCAATCTATCAGATGCAGAGTTCAAAACACTTGTTATAAGGATGCTCAAGGAACTTAGTGAGGACCTCAACAGCATAAAAAAGATCCAATCAGAAATGAAGGATTCACTAATTGAAATAAAGAACAATTTACAGGGAAATAACAGTAGAGTGGATGAAGCCAAGAGTCTAATCAATCATTTGGAACATAAGGAACCAAAAAACAACCAATCAAACAAGAAGAAGAGGAAAGATCCAAAAAAGCAAGGATAGTGTAAGCAGCCTCTGAGACAACTTGAAGCATACTAACACTCACATTGCAGAGGTGCTAGAAGGAAAAAAGAAAGAGCAAGAAATTGGAAATCTATTTGAAAAAATAATAAAAGAAAACTTTCCTAATTTAGTGAAGGAAATAGTCATGCAAGTTTAGGGAGAACAGAGAGGCCCACTAACAAGACGGATGTAAAGAGGACCACTACAAGCCAAAAGTTAAAGAGAGAAACTTAAAAGCAGCAAGAGAAAATCAGTTAGTTACCTAAAGGGGAGTTCCTATAAGACTGTCAGCTGATTTCTCAAAAGAAACTTTGAAGGCTAGACGAGATTGGCAAGAAATATTCAAAGTCAGGAAAAGCAGGGACCTACAACCAAGACAGCTCTACCCAGCAAAGCTATCATTTAGAATTGAAGGACAGATAAAGAACTTCCCAGACAAGAAAAAACTAAAGGAGTTCATCATCACCAAACCATTATTATGTGAAATGTTCTAGGGACTTATTTAAGAAAAAGAAGAATATCAAAAAGATGAGATGGGGATGGGGGAGAATGCATGAAGAGGTGAGGGGATTAAGAAATACAAATAGGTAGTTACAGCATAGCCATGGGGACAAAAAGTACAGTATAGGAAATGGAGTAGCCAAAGAACTTTTACACATGACCCATGGAAATGAACAATGGTGTGGGAATTGCCTGAGGGATTGGGGAATGCTGGGTGGAGGGGAGCAATGGGGGGAAAACTGGGATAACTAATAGCATAATCAGTAATATATAATTTTTAAAAAGTAAGAAAGTAATTTGTTAGTTTCTTAAAAAGTGAAACACACATTTAATGTATGAGTCAGCAATTCTGCTTCTAGAGCTTTCCCAAAAGAAATAAAAACATGTCAATGAAAAGATTTGAGCCCAAATGTTCAGGACAGCTTTATTTGTCATAGGACTAAGCTGTCAACAACCTAAATGTCCACCAACAGGGTAACAGGTAAAACAAATTGTAGTATATCTCCATACAATTGGATACTACTTGACAATAATAAAGAACCATAGACTGATACACAAAAGACTATAGATAGATCTAAAAAACATTATGCTGAGCAAAAGAAGATAGAAACAAAAGAAAAATGTCTATATTATTGCATTACATGACATTGTAAGATAGGAAAAACTAATCTGTAGTGATAAGAGGCAGATCAGTGCTTATATCCATCCAGGAGAGGGAATGAGGTGTATTGACTATAAAGAGGCACAGGAGTACGAATGGGCAAGAGTGACAAGAAGAAGATGGAGAAAAGGGCAATGACCCATGAAAACCAGGCATTTCCTAGTAAACACTAGGCTGCTTGCAGCTGCCTGGCTGGGACTCCTTTATACAATAGATGATGGATAGATATGGTCATTTGAGTTTTTCACCTAATCACCAAACCACTCCCCAATTTATATTAGGCAGACCTAAAAAGGAAAGATCATTGTGGGGGGAAGGTAATGAGATTAGTATGAACCACAATCACTTCCTTTTCCTGCTTTGAGTCATCTCAGTTCTGCAGCTACTGTTTTCTCCAACTTCTTCTTCTTTCCCAAGGACCTTGGTGATTACCATCTGACTAGCATAATCAGTAATATATAATTTTAAAAAATTAAGAAAGTAATTTGTTAGTTTCTTAAAAAGTGAAACACACATTTAATGTATGAATCAGCAATTCTGCTTCTAGAGCTTTCCCAAAAGAAATAAAAACATGTCAATGAAAAGATTTGAGCCCAAATGTTCAGGACAGCTTTATTTGTCATAGGACTAAGCTGTCAACAACCTAAATGTCCACCAACAGGGTAACAGGTAAAACAAATTGTAGTATATCTCCATACAATTGGATACTACTTGACAATAATAAAGAACCATAGACTGATACACAAAAGACTATAGATAGATCTAAAAAACAAGGACCTTGGTGATTACCACCTGAACTTAAAGATTGGCTGAGCCCACACTAGCCAGAGAGAATCCTGGAGGACTTACTGCTGGAAGGTTGTCTAGAGGACTTTTGATTCCAATGGGAAAATTGTGAATATGAAAAGAGAAGTGACTTGTGCCAGGTTACCTGGCTAGTCACTAGCAGAGACTGGACTTTTACACCTTGGTAGTATGGATAAATGGGAGGGCAGCTGGTTTTGTATAAATGTCTCCACTATTTATTCTATCATATATAGGTCCAGTAAGGTTAATAAGGGAACACGTAGGGTCACCAAATTTTACAATCCCAAGGATCTCCAGTCATCTTAATGTATCTACTGGATTGTGCCACATGACAGTCCACATAGACACTACTTAGGAAGAAAGAAGATTGTCTTCTGTTTACATGTTTATGTTAGGTTTTTAGAAAGAGAATCTGATTAAAATCTATATTAGCAGAAAAGAGAAATAACATTATTGAGCTGCTAAGAGTTACTAAGTACTGCTCTAGACATCAATACATATTAGCCTACTGAATTCTGCAGGGTAGCTATTATTATCCTCATCAAATAAGTAAATAATAATAATAATAAATAAATAAATAAATAAGCAAGCAAGCTGAGATTCAGAGAGGTTACATGTCTAAATTCACATTTCTGGTAATGGTAGAGCTGCAAATGCAAACTCAAGTTCTTTCCATAAGTCATGGCAGGATTTAGGAGTCTTCCTTAAAATGTTCTCCTACTATGCATGAGACAGGCACTGGGAGGGAAAAGGTACAAGGAGGTTTGTGTACTAATCTTAATAGTTCTCAGGATACCAGGGCTAAGGAATCTTTACTCAGAAAGAAAATAGGTCCTCTTTTTTAATTTTTTGGATTGTTGAGCTTACAGAAGGTATAAAGGAGCTTTCTGCATGACCATGATTCATTATTTTTTCATCTCCCCAACTGCTACCAGAATTTCTTGGTTTGTTTAAGAATACTATTCATTATAATTACTTAAGATAAACCATTTATATCTGTTTAAACAACAGTGCATAGTACTCAACATTATCAAATTGTATAAAAATATGCCAAGTTTTCATAGTGTGTTGCTTATGCAATGCGGCAATCCACTGACATTTTTTAAATGTAGGGAGAAATAGGTTTAAAACACTGTTTTAAAACCATAGTGGGGGGGCAGTTAAAATGGAGCTTAAAGCTGTATTAGTTTTGCAAATTTGTGTGTAGTTGCAATTTTTGTTTTTATTTTGCTTTTGTTATACTGTTTACAGTGTCTACCTTGCTACTGAAATTGGACATTCTGGTAATATCCAAAGTAGACAGCCCTGGTTAGATGATCCTGAATAATCCAGGAAGGAGAAGAAGGAATCTCTCAATCTGACCATACAATATAGCTCACAGAAATCCGTAGAGATATCTGTAAGTACCTTCTCTCTTTACAGTATCAGAGTTTTTTGTTTTGCTTTCTTTTTTTTTTTTTTTTAGTAAAATATTGGGTCATTATTTTTAGGACCCTTAAACAGCATTACTAAAATAGTTTAAATCAAGATTTTCAAGTGTCACATTTCTTCATATCACCTTTCATAGCTTCCAACTTCTATCAAGTAGCCAAACACAAATTTTTGTTTTAAAAATCATTCAGACTGGGTGTGGGACCTGATATTGTTCTCTTTTTACAATGTTTATTCTGAGTGCTTTACCTAGGCGTCTTACTGAATCCTCCTTGGCCCATCTGAAACCACCATACATTCTAGGCATACCTTTATATTTTTGTGGGTGGATGGATGGATAGAGAGAGAGAGAGAGAATGATATAACTTCAGCATTTGAGCCACTTCCTCTCTGAATCCCTTGTAATTGACCCCCTTGGGGAAACAGTGTAGTTATTAGAAAGAAAAAAGAAATAATAGGGTTAGGGGAATAACAGCAGACACATGAAACAGAAATACACAATGACATGAATACATAGGAACACACAGGGACAGATTCAAGAAAAAACCTGGGGTGGCTAACACACAATACAGTGTACAGATGATGTATTACAGAATTGTACACCTGGGTAATTTTGTTAACCAATGTCAACCCAATTAATTTTTTTAAAAAAGAAAAGAAAAAGAAAGAAAGGCCACAAAGATTCATAGACACAAACTACCTTCTCTCTTTCCTTCTTTCTTGAGTCTCCAAAGTTTTCTTTAGGCTCTTTCCACATTGCTTTCCCACTCCCTAGTCCATTTGGCACTTACTTGATATGCTCTGTGCGTCCAGAGCCCTCGATGGTCTTGGCTCCCCACCGTTGCTCCTTCTCAGAGATGTCATTCTGCAAAAGACAGCACTCAGCAATTAGTGATGGCAAGAGATATGGCGCACCGAGAGGGACCACACAGCTGACACATGTGTCCTCCATGTCCCCTGCATTTGCTGCCTTCTTCAGTGAGATGTCTCTGTGTGCATCCACCTGGCTCCCATGTTAAACTATACTGGTGAGTTCTGAAACCTCCCTTCTTACTGCATCCCTCACACTTTCCCTTTCAGGTCTCCCACAACTGCAGAATCCCCCAAATTCCAAATGTCTAGCCCAAACCCTGGCTTGTAGGCCAGAAAGACCCAGAATAACCTGTTCCTTCAGCATAGCCTGTCATAGCCCATCAATCACAATGTCAAACTCCTCTCTACTTCTCACCTGTCTCCATCTATCCTCACCATCAAATATCATGCATCCTCCACTCATTACAGCCAACTGCCCTACCAGTCCATTCTGTCATGAGGACTCTCTCGGCCCCAGACTGTCCTTTTTCTTAGCCCCCCAAAAGGTTACAGAGTGGCCCAGATGCCTCCTCTTCACCTTTCATTGTTCAAGCAAAGCCATTTCCAAACTCACCACAAAGTCAGGGTCTGTGTCCCAGTCATCACCTTGGGTCTCCACGGAAACAGATACATCATGTCCTACCACAGACTTCCACATCTGAGGGTGGCACAGAAGATGGCAACCAATTAGAGGGAAAAAATCAAGAGGAGGGAAAACAAGAATGCTGAAGTCAATGATATAGCAGCTCAATATTTCTTGCCATTCTTTATTAGAAGATAATAGAAGCTGAGGCAAAGCAGATGGGAGTTTTAGGAAACTGCCTCTGGGGATTTATTTAAGACAAACTAACATGGCCTGGGCACACCTCCGTCTAGAGGAAAGTCATTATGGATGTAGGTAACACTAAATAACCCAGGCGTCAAAAGTGCTGGGATCATTCATTTGCCAAGAGACCAGCCAGGCAGTGGCTGGAAGCGGTAATCAATGAGGGGTGCTAGAACATTGCTAGAATTATAGCACAATTTCACTCAGGTTTCTACATATGACTCTTTTTATAGCTATCAAAACATATATTTCTTGATAAAGCGAACATTTACATACCTCTCTACAACCTGCTTAAAACTCTATTAAGCAATTTTCTAACCCCCAAAGAAGTACAAGTGCTATTCCATCTCACTCAGACCAGGCACTGAACAGTGGCATGAGGTCAGTAGCTGAAATTTTTGCCCTGGACAATACATGGGGAAGCATTTTTGCTGGGAATAAGTCACTTATTCTCCCATTTTTAAAAACAGTTCACTTATATTTTGAAAGAAGATAACTGATGCAAAACTAGCATGTAATAAATCCCTCATTTTGAACATCAGAAGTTATTATATTTTTATTAACTAAATAAATGATAAAGAACTGCTTAGAGAACACCAATTTGAAGGAGAACCAAATTATTATTCTACTGGGGCATCCCCAGTGTTTCCACTGGCCCTGAAAACTGTGCACGAAGAGCTACACAGCTGCTCTGCATCTGTCGGTTCCTGGATCTTGGTGGGAAGAGGAAACAGGCAATGCTCATCTGATCTCATAGCCGCTGAGACTTCATCACCCTGATACTACTTGCTAGCTGCTAACCCCCCTGCCCATCTCTTCTTGCTCAGACTCCCTCGTCCCACTGATGTCTTTCCCATGCTCTTCCCTCTCTTAAGAGTCTCTTCTTACAACCACTCCTGGGATGCTGTGGCGCCTCCGCCCAGGCCCTCAGACTCTCTGTTCTTCTCCAGTTGAAAACGCCTTCTCCAGCTCTTTGAAAAATGTTGTGGAAACCAGCCCAAGGGAAGTTTGTGGTAAGTTGATTAAATAGATGCAAGGAAGACACTGGAGAAGTATTGACTAAATCAGCTGCACTTTGAGATGACTCACTGCTGAGAGCAGCTCTACCTTCCCCTGTGAGGCAACAATTATAGATGCTACAGGAAGGTAGACAAGACGAGGGCCCTGGCTCCTGGGCTGCTCTGCAATAGGAGGACTGCACACAGAAGACTGGAAAGGAGACATTTCTGAACTACTCTTGAGCAATAAGAAAGCAATGTGGACTGATGGTCCTATTCTATTTCCTGCTCTTCCTCCAACGCCTCAACCCGACTCTCCCAATAGTCTCCCATCCTCAAGTGTTTTTGAAACAAAGAGAGAATTTCCTGACACAGAGACAACTGAATATCCTTGAGCTACTAGCCAGAAACAGGGAAACCACGACGCACTATCTAGAGGTGGGACACCAGAGAGTAACTTGGTGAGGCATGGTGCCCAGAACATCAGGCGCCAACAAGGGCCTCATCATAAGGCTGCCTCATGGCATCAGTAAAGTACATGGACAGGGAGTCAGAAAATCACCTATCTTTATTACTAAGCCCCTTGGGAACATGAGTAAGAGGAGCAACAAAGAGTACGTACTTATTTGCCAGGTACCAGGGTAGGCAATTTATAAATATTAATTTAAATAATTTGGTAAATCATCAAACGCTTCAGATGCTCAATTTTCCCCCAATTGACAAATAGGTTAACCTAGCTAATACATAAAGTTCCCTCCATTTCTGACTTTCCGGGATTCTGTGATCATACAATCACAGAAACTAGTCCTAGTCACACCATCATCCTATTTGGCCTCTATCATCTCTTAGTTTTCAGTACTGGTGCACTTGAGCAACTACTTCCTGATCTATTAACGTCATTTATGTGAATTGTGTCTCTCTGCTAAATCATACACTCTCCAAGAGCAGCGACTTTGTCTTCACCTCTTGTGGCCCTCCTCCCTCCTCAGTGCCTAGGAGAAACTGGTCTTAAGAGAAGGTTGTAGATTCTGCAGAAACCAGGGGTCCTGGATTGGATAGCTGCTGAATCATGTTTCCCGGGTTCCAGCCACCCACTTCTGTTTCCATCCCCAGCTACTCATTGTCCACAACCTCGCCCACACAGGCCTTCTGGCCGTAAAAGGTTAAAAGCCTACTAGCAGTGACTTCATCTCCCAATAATAAGAGCCAGGTAGGTTCCTCTTACCTCAACTCTTGTCCTGTGCTCCCTTTCCCACTGCTCAGAGTACCCACCTCCAACAGTGCAAGTGTTGGCTCTAAACTCCCAGCTACTCACGTCGACACTTGGCTCCTTCTCTGGCTGCTGCCACTTTTGAGTGAGAAAATGAGCTGCTACTTCAGTTCCGTATTCAGGTTTTCTGTCATTTCCTGCCACCGAGTCCTCACAGTTACTTCCTGAAGTTTGAGTCAGTTACTTCTGCTTAGGCACTTAAACAAAAAAAGGACTGTTTCATCTTTTGCAAGGCTTCAAAGGTCATGGGGAAGTAAAAAAAAAATGCTCTTACTCTCAGAGTATATATCTGGTCAGGCAAGCAAAACATTCAACCAAAACTGAATTTGTGTCATAAATATGCAGGCAGTTGTATGTGTAAAGGAATGCAGACAGTTTGATATTGGCTAAAGTAATCAAGGAAGGCTTAATGGGAAAAGTAATTTTTATGTGGATCTTGCAGGGTAAGATTTAAACAGAAACTCACCTTTACATTACAGCAGTTCAAACTGGGGTTTGCATATAGTAGGAGTTCAAATAAATATTGATCAATTGAATGATGAAAGGGAACAAGTCACAGGGCCAAGGCAAGACATGGAGAGAGAAAAATTCAAGATTGTTTAGGGGACAATGAGGAGTCTGAGCTAACTCATAGAGTTGATTCCTAGTAGGAAGAAGTCTGAAAGAACTAAGTGGTACCAGATGATGGGAGGCTGTGGCATCTTGTACTACTGTTTACCAAGATTTGCTGCCTCTTTCTTCTTAAAGTAAGACTTGCTCAGGCAACTTGTTTTGGCCAGTGAAATATGAGTAATGAAATACTGAACTGACCAAAAATTCCATGTTTTTTTCCATAAAATGAAAGATGCAGTTTTCATTTTCACCAATAACTTTACTGTTTTGGATATTTTGAGTATGTTGGCTATCTCCCACATGGTATAACATTGATTATTCTTAGTTAATGTCTCGATTTGATCGCTAGCAACTTCAACTTGTCTATGTGACTGTGGAGCATTGTTCAGCGAAAAATCTCCAGCACAAAAATTCACAAACCACTTTTCACACGTTTTCATTAGTCACGGCACCTACTTCATATACTGCATAAATCTTTTTTTGCGGTTTGGTTGTGTTTTTACCTTTCTTGAAATAATAAAACATAATGAAATAGTAAAACATAATGTTTCATATTTTCTTCCATCTTCAATATTAAAATGGCTACACAGAAATTCACCAATTTTGATGTTTTTTCTAAATGCACACTGATATGACAGCTGTCACAATACAATCAAACAAAATTGTTTCAAAAGTAGGTAAAGACAACTAAGCACTACTACAGCTAGCTTATGGGAAAAAAACAAACACGCTTTTTGGCTTACCCAATACATGACTTTCTGGTGGAGACTCTACGACCAGAGGAAGATCATCCTTTTGCCCAGTGCCCACTACCTACGGTTCTCCAGTGGGTCCATTCTCAGTTGGTAAGTGAAAGGGTCCTCAAATGAGAATGACAACACTCAATCTATTGTGTGAGGGAGTTGGAGGCTTTGACTACAAAATAATCCTTTGTTATTGTAGCTACTGAAAATTAAGAGGGTGTTGTCATTGTATCTGACCTAGCTTCTCCTAATCTTGGTAGAGGTGGAATTGTGACCTGATTTGCTCAGTAGTGAGTTTCCCAATAGAGTCAAGCAGAGACTGGATGAAATTAAGATACAGAGGAGGGGATTTCCACATTAGGAATAAGTAAGATTTTAGTCACTTCCAAATCTGATTCTATGTCTCGGGGGAGTTTCATTTATTGAACTCTCCTACTTCATAACCTATTTATTGTGGCAGCACCAAAACTATCTTAAGGGTAAGTAAATTTGTAGAAGGGGAAAAGAAATCTCAGATCATTTTGAATCCTAATTCAATGTTGAAAATAGGAATGATCCAACCAGATGTTACGATACACCATCCAGGTAATTTTTTTGAGAAACCACATTTAATTACAGATGACACCAAGAAACAATCTTCCTTAGCAAATGCCCTAAGTTCATTCCCAATGAGAGGCAGTCAGCTCTTGCACATGAAATAGCATGGGCTTTGAATACAGATAGATTTGGTTCAATCACTTATTGTGTCTTGAGAAAGTAAGTTAAGATTTCTCAGGTAGCAAGTTAATATAAAAATATAGTAAGGCTTATCCTGCTGCACCTTAGACTTTCCTTCCCCCACTCCCATCCAGAGGGACCCCATGGGGTCTCACATTTTCAGTATGCACCAGATAAGGAGTTCTCCCAGGCCCAGGTATAAACCTGCATGAATCTCATGCCTTAAGGCCCAACTTGTTTGGTTCAGTATTGGGATGAAATTTCTTCATTCTACTACATTAATCTGGCTGGGGTCTAGCAGCTAAGCTGGAAGGGCACATGTAGTCATTATTGATGTTGGTCAGTAAGAAGGAAGCCTGAATATGTAAAGCTTTCTACCCCTGTATGCATTTCTGGCTACCCCACTCCTATGTCCCCTATCTACCTTCTTCCCCTCAGTATACAACACATGTATACACACACATGCTCACACACTACCAGTTTTTCATTCTAAAAATAATTTTATTATTTTACAGTTATTCAGGCAAGTTCCTTAGTTGGGGTGACCAAGACTTGTGTCACCACAGAACAAATGATTAGAGCGTATCAGTCAGCATACCAGTTTTCTGTCTTTGTGTAGTGGGAGCAAGCTGGGAAGACAACATATGCATAATGAGAAAATAATTAATAGCTAAGGGCTGGGGGACGGGGAGAGATGGGGAATAGGCACAAGTGGAAATTGATCCTGCCGTCATTCTCAGGCCCAGATTTAAATATTTTTTCTCCATATTATCCCTCCATTTTCCTTAGCTCTCTGTTACCACAGAGGGCAGATGAACATGAAGTTGAGAAAGTGGAGTTTAATTGTTACTAACAGCTAAGTAGCTTAGTACTTCAAGAGGTTAGGAGTGGTCCCCACACCAGACAGATCTCCCTAGTTGGGGGCGGGGGGGCGGTGGTCAATGTCCCATCTAGGACTGGCTCCTAGTGTACCGTTGTAGGGTCCACATTTGAGGCATATCCAGATAACACAGAATGACAAGAATCTGAATCTCACTTCCTATAGCCAGTTCTTCCTGCTTTCCAGTGAAAGGAAAGGCACGGGCCACTCAGTACCCTAGTCTTCATGTGATCAAGGGCACAAGCAATGGGATCCTATCCTTACAGTTCGGGACCACAAATTTTACTCCAGTGATGTCTGAACAGTCAGGGAAGGAGATGTAGTCCTTCCCTGTGATTCAATAGTTAAAATCCCCAGGGAGTTCTTCAGCTCCCACCCCTGAGACCTAATCAGATATTCTATGAGATAATATTCCTCAGAACTTTGTTATGGTGAGCCCAACTTTCTCCTGAAGCAGGAGAAAATATAAGGTAACCGAAGCAAATAAAGTATCGATCAAATGATACTGGAGTTTAGGTTATTAGGTTTATTGGAGTTACCCTCCTGGCTGAAAAACATTCTTCTGCATCTTTCATAGGAACACAAGAAATCAGGGCCTGACAAAATCCAAACAAATCTTGAGCTCAGCAACCACATATGGGGCCTCCTCAGATTATGCAAGAAGTTCTGGCCCTGGGCAGTAGGAGAAAGCAGACAGATGGTCCTTGCAGCTGTAACCTGAACTCACATCAACTTCTATTTTTGCAGGCACTTTCCGTGGAGACTTGGAGAAAGGACTTGTAAGTGGGAAGACTATTCCACTGGAATTGATGGTTTTGATATTTATTAGAGGCGAGGGAATTGCAAGTTCTGAGAAGGGTGTTCCAAAAGGTGAGAACTGAGTTTATAGATGGCCTGTGAAACACAGAATGAGTAGGACATGAACCATCAAAAAGTAGACAGCCGCTAGCAGAGGCACTCGGGTCCGGGAATGACAGAGCGAACGCAGGACCCGCTTCCATCCAGCACCACTCCGTGACTGAAAGAGAAATTTGGAGGTCAGACAGTTGTACCCTAGAGAGATATATCCCTTTTTCTTCCTCCAACCCTGCAGAAAAGAGATATCCTTTCTCTTGAGAGAAAGTCTCCTAAAGGTCAACAAATTGGCAAATCCTACCAGTTTCCCTCAACCTTATATATCTTTCCAGTCGTAGCCCCACCAGCTGCTCAGTGCCTAGAATTCCACATTCCTTCTCCTGACTCCTGGCCTCAACACAGCCAGCCCTGTATTTAGTACAGTATCCTCTTTATGGCCTTCCCTTCTTACCCTTCGACAACTGTTGCCTGCAAGGTCTATTAGCAGTGCCTGCTCCTGAGTGCCACAGGAGCCAATGATAGGAGTCCGGGCAGAGTCCCATTCACTGTGCTCCAACCTGTGTTCAGAAAAAAAGAGGAATGGCATTGGTTCACAGCATGTGAGGCAGATTAGGTGAAATCATCCCAGTCATCTTGCCATGTGATGTAGCACAAGGGACTTGCCGCAAAGACTGGCCTCACATCCCTGTTCCCCATGCGAGGAATGCACAGACAGACAGGTTTCTTTTAGCATAAATAATAGGTGATAATTAACTACCAGGAATTGACTGGCACTGGGCCTAGGTAGGCAGTGCTTGATTGGCTATCTCAATTTCCATTCTGCATCAAGGCCAAAGAGGGAACTATGGAGAGGCTAAGCTTGGATTAATGTAGCTTGTCCACAGACTCAAGAGTTGCCTGCACTATGCAGTTTCAAGTTGGCTTGGGACAGGTTAATCACACATGAGGAAGAGATCTCGCCCAAAGGGCTGGGTTTCCAGGTCTAAGCAAGTCCAGAACAAGTGGCAGAGAAACATCCCTGGGTGCACAGGCTGAAAATGCTCAGCAGAGACAATAAGGCTCTGTGGATCCCCAAAGAGCCCACCCTCAAGGATGCATACCAAGGCCTAAATGAGTGATGAAAATTAAGAAGTTGTGAATATGTTGCATGGGAAAGGAAGGTATCTCAAATAAGATCTGCTCACTGGGGCTGCCACCTCTGCCACCTACACTTTCCAAGCCATTAATATCACTAATGCCACTCTCTGAGGGAAGAAGCAGTGTATGTAGGTGGCTCCTCCAACCCCCAGATATAATAAAACTGCCTACTTTTAATGTTTCTTTTCCATGCAAAGAAACACCCAGCAGCAAAATAATTGTAGCCACTCTCCCTCATGTAGAATGATTCTCTTGACTGGTGAGTTGGGAATAAGGAACCGGGATATGTAGCTCTGTCCTTCCAAATCACACCTGGAGCAACCTTCC